GTATGATTATGGATGATTATGCATGATTATGCATGATTATGCATGATTATGCATGCTTATGCATGATTATGCATGATTATGCATGATTATGAATGATTATGGATGATTATGGATGATTATGTATGATTATGTATGATTATGTATGATTATGTATGATTATGTATGATTATGTATGATGCTGTATGATTATGTATGATTATGTATGATTATGTATTATTATATTATATATGTATGGTATGGTATGGTATGCTATGCTATGGTATGGTATGCTATGGTATGGTATGGTATGGTATGTATGATTATGTATGATTATAGATGTATGTAAGTGTGTAAGTATGTAAGTATGTAAGTATGTAAGTATGATTATGTGTGTATGTATGTAGGTAGGTAGGTAGGCGGGCATGTATGTATGTATGTACGTACGTACGTACGTATGTATGTATGATTGTGCATGTATGTGTGATTATATATATATATATATATGTAACTATATGTATGTATGTATGTATGTATGTATGTAGGTAGGTAGGTAGGTAGGCATGTAGGTAGGTAGGTATGCAGGTATGTAGGTATGTAGGTAGGTATGTAGGTAGGTAGGTAGGTAGGTAGGTATGCAGGTATGTAGGTATGTAGGTAGGTATGTAGGTAGGTAGGTCGGTAGGTATGTATTTATGGATTTGCATATGTAATATACAGATTTAGTTGTATCTATGATGACATGTGTATATGATCATCTCTCCCTCTCACTCTCCATCGATCCCTCAATGGAGATCATGGAGTTAGACAGAGTTAGCACTAATATCGGCTAAGCATGGCTAGGTCATAAACAGAGTCAAACGCCAGCCACCAGCATCATCAATGGATAAATTTGGTTTCGGGATGCTTCGGGGCCCATCATTGAACGGTTATGAAAGGTTGAAAACGCTTCCCCTTGAAGTCCTCCCGCCACTGCATCAGCAACGGGGCCTGTGGGCAATATGGTTCTAAACACGCAATAGCCACGAGATACACTCCATGGTGGCTGGTTACAAGGGATTTGTGATCGCCATATAATTCATGAATCCGTATACAATAAATCCACGCAAATCAGCTGCACATGGTAGGACAGCCACCTTCAGGCATCGCTGAGGATATTAAGGGTTGCTAATGGTGAAGTCTGCAACATCCTGTGACTTGCGCTATGGCCAGCAGAAACTTGGCATTCGACACTTGCTTCTGCCCAAGCCTCATCCACAGAAAGCTCCCACACCACGGTTTTGCACAGGAAATCCAACGTGGCAATATCAGGTGAACTTGTAGCTGATTGAAACACCGGAGGAACAAAAAACGCCATGGCCCCCCTTTGGGGCCGCCACTTCTTCCCAGCGATCGTGGCGCAATTTCGGTATCTTTTCCTCACCGGGCGTTGTCCCAACCCATCTCCATTGCTGGAATGTCAACTCGAGATCATCTGCACCAATGATAAACATGGCTTACTTCCCAGTGTACTTTTAATGACATCTATGCTATACAAATATATATATATAATACGTATACTGTATACATATGAAAACACATCATTGGCTAGCGTATCGAGGGTCTAGTATCGAAAAGCTTCTGGGAACCAGCAGAATAGAACCGAGTTTCATCATATGTCTTCAGATTTCCTCAAGTATTCCTCAAGTATCAAGTATTGAGCTGCTCCAATTTCCTCAAAAATACGACACCAGGTGGTCAAATGCGGATGCGTTCTTCAGAAGCAGCAAGTCATTTGCGGGACAACAGGTCTTCTGGGTACCCCAAAACATGAGGCTTTGAGCCAAGAAGTCACTTCCAAATTGGAGTCCCCGAAACAAATTGGATAACGTTTCCTAAAAAATGCCACAAGGATGGTGTTCAACATTGTTCAACATGTTCAACAATAAACGGTACCCTCCGGTAAACTAACAATGTGACATAGATGTGGAAAACCCACCATTTGTATGTCATCTTCCTGTGATTTTTCCATGGGTTTCCACATCTTTCGGTTTACCCCAGGGTAACCATTGAAGGGGCACCCGGCAGCGCACTGAGGACCCCGGACCCGGGCCACATTGGCCTTCCGCGCAGCGTAGGCCACCGCATGAGCTGCAGATTTGGCGGATAGAATGATGGCCTCGAGGGATGGTTTTTGGATGTTTTTGTTACCACCTTTTTATGGTGTACATTGGCATACTATTATATAATGTTACTATATGTTACTATATGTTACTCTATTTTAATCTATTATATAATGTTACTATTGCAGGTGCAGTCTTCGCTCTGTGCTTGCATGATATGTACTTAGGGGTTCTAAAAATGAGATGCACACAAATAGTATCAAATACAGCAGTACAAAGTCGCGCAATGTCGTTCATAGATGTGTGAAAAAGCACGTGCGGACCCAGTCACGTGATACTCTGCAAGTGCATCTGCGCAGTTGCGGCTACAGTATCAGTTCATGACTGTTCATGCATGGACACATAATGTATTGCATGTGTGTGTGTGCATGCAGCATGCTCATATATAAATGCAATTAAATGCAGGTACTATATTTTTTTTGACTGCCATGGTTCCGTGCCAAACGCGTGGCACATGGGTGAAACCGCGGGCATGCGACAGCGATACTCAAAATTGACGGCTTCTTGCAAGTTCCAACAATTTGTGATTTTGTTCCTCAATATTTTCGAACATTCCTCTTTCAATTTTTTCCCAAGCATATCTACTAGTGTACAATAGCCACTGTTGCCTGGGACCCCCCACTCTTTTGTGTTTTTCCAACATTGTAGTTAACCGCTGAATTACGTTCATAACATTTCATAACTAACTCTCCTCAGGGCATCACTGTTGCTCGATCGTAAAATATGTCCAGCAAGTTTCACTCGCCTATCTTTTAATAATTCCGAGAATAGCTTTATGTTGCTGGGTGTCCCAGGTGTGTGGCCAATTTCTTCATTTGCCTTTTGCAAAACATATTCGTTTGTCTTTGAACGGTTGACAAAAGTTGTGCTAAGACCCAAGATTTTACGTAGGCCCCGCAATTGAAATGCATTAACTTTCTTTTGTTGCGTTTGTGTGAGGTGTACTGTCTCGAGTCAATAGAGAGGTTTGTTTCTGATAATGGCATCATAAACTTGCAGCTTCCATCTATTAGAACAAACTGTTGTCTTCCAGAAGGTGTCCAATTTGAACCACGTTTTCAATGTCTGGTGCATTTTGTGGTGTCCAAGGTAGGTCGTTTCTTCCACTCTGTTCAATTTCTGTCCGTCTGGAAACTTGATCACGTTGTTGCCGTTCATAGAGATATAACAACATTTGTTCCTATTCAAATGTAGGCCAAACTGTTTTGAAACTCCCTCAACTTCAGCTAATAATAATCTATTCGCCGCCGCGGTATTGGTGGAAATCAAAACAGTGTCATCGGCATAATAAATTCTTTGGACAGGTAATTTGTTGGGATTTCTCCTCTGGTATGCAGAGTCTAGGTTCAAAGCCACATCTCTATCCACGACACGACGGACATAAGTAGTACGAATAGGCACGGCGATAGTGGGCAACCTTGTCTTATTCCGGCGGACTGAAGCTTTGCGGTTGATGTTCCATATTCATCCTCAACAAAAAAAAGGAGGCTTTAGTGTAACAATCATCTAGTACCTCTATGAAGATGTCATGAATTCCTAGTCTATGTAGTGCTATCCATAAACGACAGTGCTGAACCTTGTCAAATGCAGATACTAGATACTATGCATATATATATATATATCATGTTTCAATGCGTATACTGCATATCATTCATATATATCAAATATTCCCAACAAAAAAAAAAATCACTATATAACTATATAATACTCAAAGTCTAAATTGTACATTTTTCTCACCCACATGCACCCAAGAAAGACATGTTTGCATCTGTTACGTTTGAAATCAAAAGCTATTGCCTCAGCTACGTTTGTCCAGTCCAGGGCTCTAAGTTTATGGCATTGTGTACCTTTTGCTCGTGCTCTCTGCGCAGGGCTACAATGTCCTGCAATGCCAGATCCGGCTTGCGAAAAACACCCTGAAAAACGACGGGAAAAAAGGGAAGTTCCTCCTGTTCGCATATTTTTACCCTATGTGTAGACATGTTTTTAGCTACTAGCATCACATTTTAGGGGTCGCCCACTTTGCCGACCCGAAGGTGCTACATTCCCTCGCCAAAAAAATAACCTTGGCTGAATGGAAACAGGCCTGTCGGTCTTCTGGAAGATGGTTCAAGTCAACCACCTGATCAAATTAGCAACACCTCTGAAGAATGCAAACAAAGGAAACCAGATGAAACCAGGCCTCATCAATTTGCCTTAGATGGAAATCACTTTGAAAGACGCTGGTCGCTCAAAAACCTTGACAACATTTGACAGCCGTGATGCTTGCAGCTGAAACAGTAAATTAAACCAGCCATTGTATGCCGCTGTAACTTACTTTAACAGTCGTTTTACGACCTTGCATGGTCGTGCCATCTTGCTGCGAAAAATGTAGGCTCCCTGCATAGAATCTGCTGCGGCCTTTGCCTAGACAAGTTGGAGTGAAGTTGATCACCCCAGAGATCAACTTAATGGAAAATGATGGAACATGAGGAAACATCATGAAACATACCCTCTGGTTATTTCACATAGCTATTGAAAATGGCCATTTATAGTGGATTTTCCCATTAAAAATTGTGATTTTCCATAGTTATGTTAGTTTACCAGAGGGTACTGGCAAAAAAAAGGCAGCCACCAGCCGCCAGGGACCTCTACAGAGATCCCCCACCTCCAGGTCCGCATTTGGCAGCTGGAATTTCTCGAGGTTCTGTTCCAGTGCCTAAAGCATCCGCAGGATGGAATGGTCATGTGCCATTGCCATGTTTTTTTTTTAATAGCTGGGTCTATCTACAGACAGACAGATAGATAGATGGATGGATTGGATGGATGGATAGAGAAATAGAGAAATAGAGAAGTAGAGAAGTAGATAAAGACACATATAGATATAGATATAGAGATATAGATATATAGATATAATATAATATAGTTATAATATAGATATAATATAGATATATAGATATATAGATATAGATATGAGATAAAGATATAGATATAGATATACCAGTAGATATGGATATGGACATGGATGATGCCAACCGATCTCCAAAATTGCGACATCACTGACTTTGACTTTGAGACTCCAAAGATATCAGCAGGTTGCATGAGGGCAGCACCACAGGTAGGCAGCGACCCAAAAATGGAACCACGACTTGGGGCAGCTTAGTTTGTGCATCTGGGTTTGTCTAAACATAGGGATCAAGAAATTTGAGCAGCAGCGGCATTGTTGCACGTGTACTCGAAGGTGGTTTTGAAGGCACTTTCCTTGGAGGCCGAGCGTGATGAAGAAGTCTCTCGCAACAATTTCAAATCCAGATTGATGAACCCTGGTTGATCGTGTAACTGGATATAGTACAGTACAGTACCCCCCCAAAAGTCAAAGGCAAAAAATTATAGGAGTAAATTAGTTTTGCTGCAGGTATACCACCCCTTTTTTCCAACCAGGGTCTATCAATCCCAAGAGCTGTCATTGCCGCTCCATCTAAGCTAAGTTGGTCGCTCCTACCACTTCTCCTTTGGGAGATGCACCTGGCGCAGCACGGCTGGGACCGGGATTCAGCCAGTGCAATAAACATAAACAACTACCATTTAACATGGTTGAAATCCCACCCCCCTAAAATATGATCATATTGGAGGTGCTTCATTGTTTTATTTATACCAGATTATATCAGATGATCAAAAACCCTTTCGACACACCAGGCAAATTACCCAACTTGGTCTGCTCCCAAGCCGCGTTGTTTTACAGCGAAGCGACACGCCGAGCTGCAAATCTGTACACGTCGAGCTGGGCCTCAAAGCCCCAACACAGCTGGTTCAGCCGAGCCCTCCCTGAACAATATGGAATTCTGAGGAAAAAAGGCACACCAAAGTGACTATTTGATACCATTTCTTGTGAACATATGTGAAAATGATGTAGCTTATTATCCATGGGTGCAATCTTTCTACCCGATTTCCAAGCCCATATTGCCATATTTTGTCATTGGAGATCATGGAAATTCATGGAATGATCATCCCATGGATTGGATCTCCGTCTGGAGTCACCGATTTCATTCCTGTCGACTGCAGGCTGTCCAGAAATCAGTTCGACTGCAGCATCTCATAGCAGTCATAGCATCTCGGCGTGTTTGGCTCCTTACGATTGGAGCTGATCACCAGCAGAATCCATCTGCTGGATACCCCTGAGTCTCCCAAAGATGTGGTGTGGTTGTAACGTTTCAGAAACCCATGGGTTTGTCTTGGAGATGACTTGTGTTATACACATTAGAATAAACAAGAAACCCTCCCATTCCATCAACTATCGTCAGGATGTAGTTTCCTTATGATCTCGTAGCTGATAAGGCTGATAAGATAAATATAGATATATAAATGATAATACATGTGCCATCCAGCCAGCCATCCACCGATCCATCCGTCCATCTGTATACTTCTTCAAGCTCCTTCACTTGTCGGTACAACACAATAAGGATCCCCCTAGATGTAAGTTGGTGTATGTTGGTGTGTAACCCATCCAGCTGCAGATTTAGCAACCATAAGTCCAGTATATTCATTCTAGTCTACTGTACTTATAACCCATGGCAATGGAAAATTCAAACCTTTATTGGAAAATATGAATGCACCATGGAAGTAAATAGGATATTTGCCAGCACCAGGTTTAACTTTCTAGATTTTCCGAAAATTTTCCAACCAGCCATCTCGTGGGCAGGTAGAAATCAACATTTTATCAACATCTTATTATTCAATAATGGGGGGCCCCATTGGGGTTAACCCCTGGGATCCCCTGAGATCCCCTGGGCACCCGCACGCCGCCGCCAAGGCTGTGCCTTTGGTGGGCCTGCGCGGGCGCGGCGTGGAGATGCAATGGATTTTGCCAGAAACGGGTTTAGATGGAAAACATGGTGATTTATTGAGCGTAAAAAACACATCTGGTTTTGACCAGGAAGAAAAGTAAAACTAGATTGTACTAGATTTAGCAATCAAAACTGGGGACCAAAGCATCAACAATGGAGTGGTTGATAGATTGGTTGCAGAGAAACTAGAGAGGAAAGCACCTATTTTATAAATTCTAGGGGTTCTTGCAAATTCTGCCTGAACCAAATCAGCAAACACATGTGAACAAATGATCTTCCATGATTTTCGGTAACGTCCAAAATGCCTGATTGTCAAACCCTGTGAAACCCAAATCATCGCCTTGTTCAGATCCGGAAAATTATCTTCCAAAGCAATATTTGGATATATTTGGGGGATCGTCCATGTTCGAGTTCGAGGGATTTCGCGGCTGCAGCCGCTGCAGCCCCAATCTAGACATGAGGATTGCTCAAACATAGAAATTCATGTACACAATTAGTGCTAGAGCATTCAATCTTGGGAGTGTGTGATCTTGAGCGCAAATATATGCAAATATTATATTATTTCGGATAGCTAACTTCGCTAACCAAGCTGCTCACGATGGTCGGTTCATCCCCTACCGCTGTTGTACATCCCCATGTCATCAGTTTCTGATGGAATGTCGTACTGTTTGCTGCGTCTTAAAGTTGGATAAGTTGGTTGATTCCGTCTTTGCTTAGATTTTCTTAGTATCCTTGATTCTTTTGTGTTGTAATATGGTGACTTTGGTGACTCTGTGGTTTTATCCTCAGTTGTTGTTGTTGTTGTTGTTCTTTATCCCCACTTTGATATGACAACTGCTGTGGTCAAGAAGTAAAATTGAATCATAGAAATCACCAGGTGATCCCCATGTTGGTTTCTCCCAGCATCCCATGGTTAACATCAAAGTATTCATCCTTGAAAATTGTTTCTTTGTTGGGAAAGTCATGATTTTTAGTGATTAAACCCAGTTAAACCTTCATTTGATCCCCAACTTTGGTTCGTGACAGAGTCTCACCCGCGTTTTTTACTGATAGAATACGGATGAATACGGTAACATATCGTAACATCATGTCAAAACCTCTTTTCTTTGCGTTTCAACTGCCATTTTTGCTGCGTTCAAACCTCCATCGTTTGCCAAGCCGCTCGGTCGAAAACATTCCGAGCCCGGGCTGCCAGCTTCATCGCCCACACTGGTGGAAGCAGTGCCTGCCCACGAAGTGGATGGGGTTTCAGGCGGGGGAAAATGGTCAATATAATGATTATTCAATGGCAATACAAAAGGTGGATAAAGGTGGTATATATGCTGATCAATAATGGTTGATATCACCCGAAAAGTAAAATTAGTCGGTTCCCTTACTACCGTATCCATATGTAAAATCAGCATCCTTTGAGAGTAAATCGCCTAGCCTATATGACATATTATAATATTATATACATATGTATATGCAATTTATTATGTATTATTAAATGGACCATTTCCTATAGCTACGTTAAATTACCAAAGGGCCCCAAACAGGGCTGAAGAGTGAAACATGTGACACCACCAGCCAGTTTGGTTGAAACTTGAAACCAAGCTCTTTGACCTCAAGTCACTCCACATACAGGGGTCACACCTGCATATCTTACCTGTAAAATTCAATTTCTGGGAGTATGGGTGTTTGAATGGAACGTCTTGGTAGCAAATGAAATCACCATTTGATGGGAAGCCCTAGGCCCTGGGTGTTCAATCAACCATGGTATGTATTTTAAGCCGGGACTGACATCACTGGATTTCAAGTTGCAATGACTCCAGAGAGGAACCTCAAAAAGCCTTCACCGCTTTCTAAATACAAACGCTGAATGCAAACACGAACCCCTAAATTTAATGGTGCCGGCCATTCTTCGTACCAAACCATCCACATTTACGGGGGTCCAGAAATAGGGAAAAAAGCAACTGCAACCGCAACCTGTTTGCTTTTTATACCACAAAAACAGATGGCCTTCTGAGGCCAGCGGAAGGGTGCGCTCAACCCCCCGACCAATTTGATGGCAAGTGCTCCAGGTGCCTGCGTGGTCGGATGAAGATGCAGAGAGATGGGCGTCGCAGTCAGCCCATTGGGACTGCCATTGCCTTGGCATGAATCAGATGGTTTGAATGTGTGTACACTAACTATATCTAACTATTATATACTGAGATCTTTCTTTTTCCCCCCTCTCTCTCTCACTCTCTCTCCCTGTTTGCTTTTAATTGTTTTTTTCTGGGGTTCTGCTGGAATTTATCACTTCATGATTTCCAGCTGAGCTTGGCCAAAGAGAGGTTTCAAGCTCGGGCCAGTCTACTTCCGGGAAATCCACTGCATGAGTGGCCAATCCTCGCCATGTTGCTCCAGCGTCTTTTCGTCAACAAGATGCTGCGAAACTCCTCAAGAAGGCAAGAATTGTCTGCAGGTAACAAGCCAATTTAAGTGTGATTTGGTATTGACCCAGCTCGCCAACTGCTCGCAACATCAAAGCCTGCTAGAAGGTCTTTCTGCAGCAGGCACTCTTTGCAAACACCATCTCCTGCAATGCGGCAAAACATGGCAAAACGGCGTGGCAAATTCTACTCCCTGCGTGCAGTAGCGAGGTGGTCCCAGCTGTTTAACTGATGCATCTGACTGAAACTTGAAAACCTTGAAACAGGATACATGCTGATGCATGCTGGAGCTGTAAAACTCAGTACTTACAGGTCGGACTGCTCTGCAGTTTGGAACAGACCTTCCTATAGTCAGATAGATTTCACACACAAGGCCAACAGGGGTTACACCTGTCATGTGCCCAAATGGTTTGCATCCAAAGCGCCGCCAGCAAATATGACATACAAAATTGATCCTGATTATTGGTGACACGTGCAAGGGTGACGAAACATTTCCTGCATGAATCTAATTGCTTAATTACAGTAATTAATCAACATTCATCATTCATCAGTCATGATAATGCTCCTTGTGGTAGAATCGGTAGAACTGGTCAGACTTTCTTAAGTCGAAAAACTTCCTGGCAATGGCAATAGCCTCCGTCCTTCAGCCAGTTCGTTCCATGGATAGTGAACACTGCAGGTGGCACATTCCACCACCAAACTTTCACCAGCCGCATCGGCCGCGCTTTCTTCGGGCGTGTCTGGTGCCACTGCCTTTTCACTCGACTTTTCCGCCTTCTCCGCCTTCTTCTTGGCAATACGCTCCGCCTGCTGCCCTCAGATCTCAAACGGTGGTGTCAGTGGATGAAGGGAAAGTTAAGAGGCAACTTATAGTATGTAGTACAGGGTTTACACCAAATGTAGATGTAGAGTTTTCCCGGACATTCCCCCTTCCACCAATTTTGGGAAGTTGCTTTTTACTAATATCTATAGAATGTACAGTATATATATATAATTCTACCAGCAACAAGCCCCCGAGCCCCACTGCTTACTCCAAGCTGCGGGCTTCATCCAAAACCCATTGTGGTGCTGCTTTTACCACCTTGTGGGCCTCAATTTCTTGGCATTTCTTGGCAAAATGAAACACCCGCTATGGCTGGAACCCGACATGAATAGATCCAATCCATTCCACTACAAGGGTTCAGTTTGGGGTGTAGTTAGCATCAAACGGAAGGGACCAGTGCAAGTACCCTCTGGTAATTTAACATAGCTATTGAAAATGGTGATTTATAGTGGATTTTCCCATGAAAAATGGTGATTTTCCATAGCTATGTTAAATTACCAGAGGGTAGTATGGTTTAAATTAGTTCAGAATAAAATGGGACCCACCACACTGGAGGCAAAAAGGTGCCTCTCACGAGGCCAGTTTCAGCAAGGGGGTGGACGTTACACATCCAAATGGTGAGGGATCATGTGTCATCATTTGTCCAATCGTTGTGAAAAATGTGGGGTACCCATGCCCCCATGGGAACAGGACATCGATTTATGATGATTTATGGTCTATGGAGATCTATGGAGTAATCATTATCCCAGTCTTTCTTCCCCAAAAGTTTTGAAGATGTTTCAAGCCAGCAGTACCCTCTGGTAAACTAACATAGCTATGGAAAATCACCATTTTTCATGGGAAAACTCACTATAAATGGCCATTTTCAATAGCTATTTTGACATAACCAGAGGCTAAATCCTTTGTCAGACTTCCTGTTCCCAGGAAGTCGGGCGGCCAGTGCCTAGATATGTCGAGATGCAAGGGCCCCGTGCTTGTCGCCCAGCCGCTGCAAGCGCGCCAAGTTCCGTTGAACACGCTCCAATTCCACCTGGTTTGAGGCGGCTCTCAGCTCATCCATGGCATCGATCCTTGGTAAACTCCAGATGTGATACCCAGCCTATCAGGCCATTACCCTCTGGTTATGTCAAAATAGCTATTGAATATGGCCATAGAAATAGTGGATTTACCATGATTTACCTATTGAAAATGGTGATTTTCCATAGTTTTGTGAGTTTACCAGAGGGTACCCAATATGACCCAGTGATATGCTGTGGCTGTGACTTATGGATAGGTGGTTTGATCATCTCAATCTTGGGGATAGGACTTGATTTATTTTTTTTCGGGCGGGCATGATCGAGAAAGAGATTACAGTAATCATGATTAATCAACATTATACAAATATTTAATAATTGAAGTCACCGGTGATCCGCTCTTCTAACTTCGAAACTTTGCCCGCTGTGCGTCCAGGCAGCTCTTTACTGGGCTGCATCAACTTGGATGCCACTGCCTGAGACCCAGGGAAGCTTGTCTCTCCACTCATGACTACAGTATAAGATCGTATCATGGGGATAAAATTATGATATATTGATATTGATATTGATATATAATGAAAGAATATATAAATGGGACAACGATATATTGATATGTATACATATATATATATGATGAAAGAATATATAAATGGGACAACTATGGAAAATTAGATGGAAAAAGCGTATCAATATTCCTGATTCAATTTCTATCAATATGTATCATAGACCAAGCCTTTTCAAAGCGCCCATTTTGGGACAAATCATCCATGACCCCCTGCCTCTGAAGATCGATCCACTGCAGACTTCTCCTGTCTCTGCAACTCACCGGCGTGTCTCTGCTTCTCCAGTTTTCGCAGGCGCTCTTCTTCTTGGACCTTGGCCCAGAAAGGCTGTGAAATGCTGTGAAGAGAATGGCGAATGGATGCGAATGGCGAATCATTTAACTGACACTTTCTGATACTTTCTGGCTAAACCCTCGGATGTCTGGAATCAAAAATTGTCTCTACAGTAGAGCTGATTGATGTCTCAGGTATTTTGGCTCACTTGGTTTTAAACAAAGTCGTTGAATGCATCTTTTTCATCGAACTGGACAAACACAGGCTCACAAGCGAACCAGTTGCAAAAATGCCTCAGCTGCGGCCTCGTTTCGTCTCTTCACAATCTCTTCATGTCTTTCTCTGATTTGCCGTTTCAACCCATCTGTGGAAAAAAAGCCACTGCGGATCATCATCCCAAAACATCCCAAATATATGGCTTTCAGATGCTTTAAGTTACTTCAAGATTAAAATAAAAAAATGTGAAACCACCAACCAATCTTTCTTCACCACCGAGCAACGATGAAGTCGGGCAACTTGCGCTTGGGGCCCAAGGGGTCATGGTCTTCGGTTCGCCCCGTGCTATCAATGTGCTTCACTTCATGGCCAGCACTGACCAGCTCATCTGCAACAACCTGTGCTGGGGTCACTGCAGAGGTTCTGGAGGTTTTGAGGAAATCCAGACGGCATGGAGCAACAACTACTGAACACATGAGCTGAAAAATGGTTCACACATCAAGAATGGAAGCTCTTGTTGACATGCAACAATCAAGAATCAACTTTTCAAACTGGGTTCGTCTGAAAAATCTGGAAAAGAAGTAAGCCCCAAATCCACTCTTATCATAAGCATCATTAATCATTATATATATATAATATATATATATATATTATATGCCCAATAGAATGGCCAGTAATGATCATGCTCCCATGTCTCAATGGCCAGTTGTATAGCTGTCCTGTCGATGATCCAGTCGCCAGTCAGGCTCGAATCCCAGGAAGCAGCTCCTGCTGCGCTTGCCGTGCCAGGCCAATTCCACCAGGGCGTGTTGCGCCTGGGGCCAGCTGCACCAAAATAGGGTTGAACTTTTAATCACTACAATGTGGGGCCCCCCAGTTATAAGTTGGTTTATAACCCCCAGTAACTATAGTTATAAGTACCATAAACCATAGTTATTGGATGTTATTGGAGTTATAAACCAACTTAGCTATCTAGGGGGCCCCACCACTTTGTATGGCTATATTAAACATAAAATACACATAGTGATTAAAGCAAGTTCAACCCATAGTGATTCATAATTTAATATAGTTGAATTACTTGTTATTATGGTTTATTGCCTACCGTGGATTACGGGAAACCATGGGTTGAACTTGCTTCACTATGGGTTGAACTTGTCAAACCTGGATTAGTAAACCCTTGCTTTTATTTTGGTTTGTGGATAATAGGAGGTACCACTGATTTTGAGAGGAATCTATCACTATTCTGGGGATTCTGGGGGGGGCTCCCCTATCTATTGATTGGGTCTGATATGGTCTAATATGGTGTTGCATGGCTTGGCTATAGGCTTTATCATGTTTATCCAAGCCCGGCGCTGATGGATGTATTCTCCAAGGAAAATGAGAGGCAACCACGGCTCTGAAAGCCAAGTCTGGGATTGGCGCATTTTCGGTGTCTGTTGCATTACTGGAGGGATCGGGTAGGAGATGCATGAAGTGGGTTTCTATTCATCTAACTCCTTCCAAAAAGAAAAAGCTACTGGTTTCTGTTGTAAGAGTTTCCTACGCAAAATCAAGACCCATTCAAAGGATATTTAGAGATATTTAGAGTTGTCAGGGAGTATCTGGCAGGCAACCTTCCACTAACATCCACTAACCTTCCCCCAATGTTCATCATTGTTCATCATCTTTCATGTCTCACCTCGTCCGTCTTCACGTGCTTCAAGATGCCATAGGCCGACTCCCTCCCCAGCGCAACGTGTTTGTAAGCGATGCCGCGCATGCGGCAGCTAGACTTCAAGGCTCGTACCGAGAAGTGCTCACACGGAGCGTGGACGTCGCCACGGTGATCGCTGGCCCTGAAATTGTAGAGGACTCCTATCCGGCCAAAGTCCCAGGAGGGGGTAAGAACGTGGGAGGGGACACACCAACCAACAGCTAAGAAGTATAGAATACATTAGAATACTGAATACTGTACTCTTTTTGAAAACAGGCTTCAGTGGGAATAAATGCAAACAAAAAAGAATAACAAGTACCAAATGGGAATGTGCGCTACAAGCCTCAACCAGTTCGCACAGTTGTGGTAGACAAGAATTTGCGATAGAGATTCGTATAATAATGACAGGACAATCAAGAGATCAGGAGGATATGAGGAATAACCTGCCCTATCATCCTACAGCAATCTTGACTCATTAGTGGGTTCAACCCTCTTTCTGAGTATAGCAATGCAGTCGTTCCAAGTTGACATGGAAAGCAAGTTGCATCCAGTTGCGGCAAAGACACGAACTGAATTCAACTGCAAGAGCTCGTAGAAGGATTTCTCAGTCATCTGTCCGTGGCCGATGGACAGGACGGTCACTTTGTCCATGGTTGGCAACGAGAGATTTTCACGGGCAAAGTTCGACTCCATTAAGTCACCTCTGGCGGCCGGTGACATCCGGTGACCCAATGGGGAGCCCCAAGGATGTCACGTGTGAAAACCCACCCAATGGGGGGAGGAAAATCTTGGGCATCCACCATAAATTGGACCAAAACCTAACATTCAGTGCATCATCTTCAAAAAGCCACGCCTTTCCCATGCCATCTCTCTGCATCTGCTCGATTCATTTGCTGTTCGTATTCTTCAAACTGCTGCGCCAACAGGAAGGTGTTGTCCTCGTTCATGGACCTCTGCCAGGGCAGCAAATGTCAGCAGAATGGGACCGCCATGGACCGCTGCCATTATCCTCCATGCCATTCATGCCATTCCAATGGGTAGTGACGACCGAATTCTGGGAGATAAGGGGGAACGATTTCATGGTCAACCCAATGATGTTCAATGAAATCGGCGGTGCCGATTTATTTTGTGTGACCATTTGGGATGGTTTATGGCCTGGCATTTTGGATCCCTCAATATCAATATATATACTATATATATATACAATATATATATATATATATTATACAATATATATATATATATATTTAATTGATATGTGGACATAAAAATACACAGAATCTATACAAACTATATAATGTGGTAAGTTAGGGAAACCCCCAGTGACTTCTTATAATCCTTGGCTCATCTTGGCTCCTCATTTCTATAATAGGGAACATTCCCATTAGATACCAAAAGTCAATGGCTTCCTGGATTGGTTTAAGGAAAAATCATGGAAAATCAAAACCGGAAACCATGGATTTTCCCATGAAATACAGTGAATGTTCGAAATCCTACATCACCTTGGATGGTTGAAACATGTTGAAACCCTATTAATAATGGGATGAGCATGGATAAACCACCTATCAACTCCTGCAGGATTTCGCAACCATCCACAGTGGGGGGTTCCTCCGCCCACCTGCGACCAAGCCACTCTTCTTCCAGCTGAGCGGCCAAGACGGCATCGGCATCCGCCCCATGTAGTTCGCCTCGAAATTGGGATTTCAGATGAAGTTTTTCTTTTGTATTTGTTTTTGTCGTCTTTTTGTTGCTTAATTTAAGCATCAACAATTCATAACAATTCAATGCATTGTGTCACGCGTCGTTTTTTTTCTGTGGGCGCGTTTGTTTTGCCATATTGGAAGAGAGTTTTTTTCCTGGATATGTTGTTCCCTTCAGCATAGATCTGGGAAACAATTGGAAGTATGGATCAGAACATATCGAAACCCTGGCACCATGGTGAGCATCATTTTTTGTGGACGTTCATCCACGAACATACAGATGTTTTAGGATGTGTTGACCCCCTCCCCCGAGCAATGATGGTAACCAATAATTACGCTAGCATGTGGTAACCAAGACATTTCAATAACATACCTTTGCAAAAAATAAAAAACTCTTGTATACTGTATGAGTCATTGAGTCATTAATGTTAATTAATCGCAACCGATGTGTACATATAGAAAGGGTGCGATGAGCAAGAACTCAGGCGTTCTGCGTATCAGAAACGATCAGAAACTGGTGCAAAGCGCGGATACAGCCAGCGGCAATCGGGAGTCTCATAGAATCATGCCGCCATAAAAAACATAAAATATGATGTGAAGAATTATGAAGATATTTCTTTATTCTTTACACATCAAGCTCAGGAGACTACAAAAACAAAGGATGTGCCACCAGCACGTCTTCGTGCCCGCATGATCTAGTGACCGAAATGACGTGGGAAGCCCAGTGCTAAACCATGCCTGCTCACGTGTAAAATACGTGTTGTTGTTATTCCTAGCTTACACCACCATCATTGGGCTATGCAAGATTGGCTTATTTGGCTTATGGCTTATATGAGCAATCTCGAAAACCTAGGTTCACGGAAAGGACGGACATCCACAAATTTGGGAAGGTCCCATCGCTTACCACACGTTTGTACAATAATGATATATGGTAAACTTGGGGGGGTATCGCTTGCAGGAAACTGCTACAGTTTTATATATATAATTCACATACATCAACGTCCAATTTGGGTATCACTAATGTGGATATTAGAGAATTAAATACCATGACATAACCTTGAAAAGGGGTCTCGCTAATTTGGGAAGGTCCAATCGCTTACCGCGTGTTTTTAACAATTTCCATCAATTTCCATAAACCAATGTCCGTCCAATACATATTTAGTATATTTTAGTATTGCCAGGGTTTTTGCGGTGGCTCATATGATATTTTAATGGGTTTCCCACATCTGCTGCTGTTAAGGCACAACAAGCCCCTAGCGCTGGTGGATCATCTTCAAACTGCAGTCTCAAGGCCAATTCCTCATCCTCAGCTTCCGCAACACCAGGGTTGGAGACTTAGAGTCTACGTAAAATTCTTCCAATCTCTTTCCCAAACCCTGGGGGAGCCAGAAAAAATAAAATAAAAAATGGATAGACTGGTGAATTCAGCTGTGCTTCAGTGGGAATGAATGCAGCTTGTGCCTTGGCAGCCTTGGCCAACTTCTTCCCCCATCGATTGGGCTGGCAGCTGGAGCTGGATCCCATCCGCTCCTGGAGTCCCAAGTCATCAGCAGCTCCAGCCATTAGCAGCAACTCTGCTGCATGTTCCGCATCGAAAGCCGCTGATTGCAAGGCATTCTTGGAGGCACTTTCTTCAAAGCCCAGCTGAAGCAATTGCTGCAAGGCTGCGTTGCGTGCAGGATCACTCCACAAAAGTTGCAGAGTATCGGCCCCCAGCTGATGTGAGGACTGCAACTTCGAGAGTTCCGTGGACTTTCGTGGGTCTTCCGGATCGGTCAGGGTCTGCCACTGCTTCTTCATCTGCATGCTGGTGGGGTAGAAGAAGATGGGCACCGTGATGCGCCCCCCGGCGACCTCTGGCATCTTGGGCACTCCGTGGCGTTGGGTTCCAAAGATCACTAGGTCGCAGTCCTGAAAAAGCGACATCTGGGAGGCGTTCAAAACAAATCACGAAATTGGAACGTACCAGATGGACTCAAAGGATTTCCATGGATTTCCCAGGCATCTTCGTATCTCTTAGTGTGTTAACTGTTAATACTTGTCAAAATGGAACCTACTATGACCTACTCTTCGGCACCATGAAGTGACATGATTTAAGTTGAACAATGTCCAAACCCGGTTTGAGAATTTGAAAGGAGATGAAAGGAGAATCCTCCTCAAAAAATGATGAACAATTATGAACAATTAAAGCCTTTTTGGGGGGCCATTGGACTCATCCTGAAGCAACAAGGGCGTCTTGTCGATGGTCAGAATCCGCTCATGGCCAAAGCTGAAGAGGGCCGTCCAGCAATCGTGGCGATGACTCCCGAGCACCGAGTCGCCATCGGGATACCAGTTCAGGGCGATGCCGGCCGTCCGGTCCGCCAGGCCGTATTCGGAGAAGAACTGCTGCAGCAGCTTATCGAAAGCTGGGGAGGAGCCCTGGGTGTACCGGGCACCTTGGTTTCCCTGAAGCTTCATCTTCCCTTCCTTGTCGTATTTCACATGCGATGCCCCAGTGGAAAAGTCTCGGGTTCTGGCTGCGGAGGATTTCCATTCGGTGTTGTTCAACAGTTCATCATAGATGGCCGGATCTGCCGCATACTTCCGCCTGACCTCCACGTCTCTCCACCAAGAGGCCGTACTAGTTGAAGCATCAGAAGCCAAGGAAGCTCCAATGTTGAGACTGGTGGCAGTTTTGCTTCCCAACTCCTTGGACATATATTCGTGTACTCCCCATGGTCGTGGGATTTCCCTTTCATCCTTCTGCCACCATTTGGCCACAAACTGCTCAGAGCGACCTAAGACTTTGGCGATCTCAGCTTTACTCTTGCCCTCCTTACGGAAGTGAATGGCCCTCAGCCGATCTTGAAAAATCTTGTGCCCCTCCGAACTGTTGGACTCGAAATGCCCCTCCAGCTGGAAATGGCTCTCGTCGAACTCGGTGATCTGCTCACCTTTGTTAGCAAATTCGATCCAGCGGTAGACTTTTGTGGAGCCGGCCCTTGGTCCAGGACAAACAAGCCGTGAACGATCAGAAAATGACAGAAACCATCAGAAACCTACTTTTGCCAATATCGATCGACACCTAAGATATTTTTCTCATCATCAGTCAATTGGCCACTGGTTTCATAAAGCCATCAAACTCCCGTAAGAGATCAACTCATCCAAAGAGAGTCCAAAGATCGCAAGAGATTTCTCTGTGCAGCCACGACTCTCTTTGGGCCCCTTGGTGGCATCAGATAACTTTTGCAACGGCATGACCGCGTGACCGCGTTCGCGCGCAGCCGTGGTGTTTTTTTCACGCGCCCAACAGCTTGGAGCCAGGAGCCAAAGAGTTCAGGGACGGGAATGAATGACCTATCATTGCAATCACTGTGGGAAACACGCTGCTGCAGTATGTTGCAGTCTAATTTCCATGGTTTTCTGCAAAATGGTTGCGCACACACCCCAAAAAAAAAACAGATGCGCCTAGAATAAGTGAGGCTTCCCATAAATCAACCCCATAAATCATACATTTTTGGGCTGGATTGTCCAGCCCAAAACCATCCAGCCATTGGGGTACCCGCTTCGTTCGGCGAAATCCCGTACCGGGTGCCTCCGTAACGTCCCCGATAGCTGGCCACTGCAAGTCTGAAGGCCTGCCATGAAAACCTCGACTCCCAGAACGAAAACAATGAAAATCCAACAGGTCATTAATGCATATTATTGCATATTCATATATATATATATGTATATTAATGATTTATATGTAACTCTCTCACCATCAATATGTTTGCGAAAGTCAATTTCTAGCCCCTTGGTTCCACATCTTTGGAATATGATGAAATACACCACTAGCTCCGAAGCGCTCCCTCTCCAGACCAAAGCGCCTGATTCAAGATGTGTGTGGTCCTGGTGTTCCTGCCGGCAAAGTCCACAGGATTCCAGCTTATTACTGTGGGTTACTGTGGCAAAGCCAATAATGAACCACCCCCAAAACCACCATAAGATCCATAAGTGGGTTGCATATGGTTGCATAACCATCATGTTTTTGCATGTTTTTGCATAGTCTTCGTCTTTCTGTAAGCCAGCTTGCCCAGCTTTCGATCCAGATTTGACGCTGGATTTATCAACTTGTTCAACGTTGGATATGATAAAATCATTCATATCCAGATCCACTAATATGATGACGCACAACCAAACAAAGCTAAACAGTCAATGATATTCCTGCAGATTGCTATCACTCAAAAATGGTATGCTGTTGTGGGCCCATTTGGTCATATTTCGCATCCGTTCGCATCCAAAGCCACCTATTTTGGGGGCCCAAAGGTGCTGAGTCATCGGCAAAATCTAAAACGGTGGTAAGTCCAAAATAGGCGAGACCCCAACTGGTAGCGATTCGAATCTGGAAAATGATGTTTTAAACTTCCTTCCAAACCACTTGGTTCCCAGCTGCAAGTCACAACAAAAAATCCGCTGGCTGTGCTCCTCGCCATCTTCTCAGCAGTGTTGTTGATCCAATCTGGTGGTCGTCGCCTCTTTCAACTCCCCATCATTTAAACATTCGAGTCAAATTTTGGCCGGTGCTCAGTGGATAATATAAATATGGACAATTGGCAGGGAGGGAAACAAAAACGCATTGAAGCTGCTGGAATTGTCATGAATTTTCTACTGATAGTCCACTGAAGCACCGGCCGGCTGGACTTTCTTGGTTTCTGATGGGCCCTGGCCTCAGCAAGGCCCAGCACAAATCAGAAGCGAAGTGGTTGCAATTGTTCCTGGCACGCAGACGGGGGAACCTCGGGAACCTCGCTCGGGGACCTCAGTTTTCCACAGATTGCCTTCGCCATTGGCCCGTTTCCCATTCAGAATAAGTGCAGCCACCTGAAATCGGGGTGGTTCTTCGGATTATATACATACATATCATACATATATATATATATATATATGTGTGTGTGTGTGTCAAACGTCTCAATTTTGCATCATGTTTGGTCCCCGAAATTCTCATAGAAACATATAGAAACCCTCTTTTGCAAACCCGATCCGTGTGGCAGATCCGATTGCATCCAAGTGGCTCTAGGAGACTGTATTGTTTTCCATGCCTGGGGCTCAGTAGAGAAGGTACCCCAGTGAGGTCTTTGGGTCTGGATCGGTCTGGATCTGGATCCAATTTGAGCCCGATATGTCCCAAAAACATCCAAAAACATCCAAAAACCACTGGTATCTGCAAGTTGTGGTCTGAAACTGATAACATCTGATAAATGATCCAAACCCACATTCTAGATCATTCTAGATCATTCTAGATCATTCTACAAGGGAACCGTGAACAAAACTCCGCTGGTTTTCCCCCAGGACCCGCTTAGGAAGGACTACACCCTGGAAGACCCCAAGAGGGCTGCACCATTCGTCCATCTCCATGTGGTCTCTGATGATGTTCAAGACCTGCTGGGAATACTGCTGGGATTCCCATGGATCAAAATGATGAAAATGATCAAAATCCAAACGGGGTACCCCAAAACATGAGATGCTTTACTATGTTTACTACCCTTAAAAATGAGATGGTTTCCACATGTTTCCACCATTTTACTGCATATTACTGCATATTTATGTATATTTGCAAGTGCCGAAATCTGTCCCTAACAATGACATTTGACTCATACCGAAACTGCACATGCTGCGGCGGCTGCGGCCGATGGCCTGCTCCTGCGACCCTCTGAGCCGGCCCATCACTACCCTGTCGTAGAACTGGTAGTCCTCAGCCCGAAAGCCACGAAGATCCACGAAGCTGATCGAAGCTGCAGGTCATGGACATGGTGACAGACATCCACAACCCAAGTGCGCCATGTGTGGCCTCATCCTATGGCATTTCTATGCATTTCTACCGTTTTTAGCTGCGTGTTTATCTGTTTTTGCTATGAAAAATGGCGGCTTTCCATGGGTTTCTTATGGTTTCTTCATTTCTCAGAGTCTGAATGTTCCCATCACATCCATTCATATCCTTCATCTGGAGAATCAAATAAGCATCTTGAGGAAGGAGCCGGGTTCATCTCAGGCTTGCAGACGTAAATGCCCGTCTCCCCAAAGGAGTCATGTGCGCCAAAGGACTCAGCACCAAGCAGTTCAGAGAGAATTTCTTCGTGGGGCGTGCTAAATCCCCAAAGAAAGTGTTGTTACATCATCCCCAGAATTGGTTCAAGGGAACTCAGAAAAAAAACTGCAACGCGGGGTCTCAATGGGTCTCATGTTGGAACCCTGGGACAATCTCTACATGGACCTTTAGATCGAGAATCATGTACGAATCATTGGATGGGTTCAAGGGAAAATATACAGGAAGCCTCTAGATTTGATGCTGAAAACCATGGTGTCTATATATTTCTTAAACATCTTAAACCAGTCCATGTGTTCAAAAACCAGTCCATGTGTTAACCATGATCCTCGACTCTGAGATGCCGAGGCGTATTCATTGCCCAGCACCACCAAGCCGCTGTGGTAGGCGCCTCTGGCAATGCTGGGCTATCCTGTTGGGCCCTAGGGCCTGGGTGAAAATCGATGGAGGGAAAATCTACAATGATCCGATTCTGGGAGAACATGGCTGGTCAATGCTGGTGAGGGATGTTCATCATATATCTGGGTAAATTATAATATTTCACTAACCTGAATTAAGGCCATTTTAATTTTGGGATGATTCCCCTTACGAACTATGATTTCCAGTGAGGTCGTAGTGTCGTTATAATTTACCCAGATATATTCATCCCAGTCCCATACGGTCCCATACGGTCCCCTGGCCTGTGATGCCAGAACCAATGCTGTTGAAGAGGCTGATTCCAGAGAAGTCAAAGGTGTAGACGGACAGCCTCACCTGGTGACTGCTGTAGCTGTAGTTATGATGTGATCGATTTTCCAAGAATTTAGGCATCATGTGAACCCTCGAGGTGGCAATGATTGTTCAAATTCATCCCATTTTCCAAAAATCATCCCAAAAAGACATCATATGAGTCAATTAGATTCAATTAGTCCATATATGTCCATATTTCATCAATTAATCCTTATTAATCCTATTTAATCCTTAAGTTTCCAAGTTTTTTTCATGGTAACCTTCGTGAAGACCGCGAACCCCACGACTCCTCCAGCTCGCCCTTGGGCAGCACGGGCTCGGTATAGTCACCAGGCCTCGAGTAGGGGATGAAAAGGGGTCAAGTCGAAGAATCATGGGATTTCACCATGATTTAACCATGATTTAACCATCAACAACAGCAAAAAACCATGGGATGTTGCGTGATTTAACCATCAATAACGTGATTTAACCATCATTAACAATCAACAACAGCGAAACAATTGGGTTTAACATGGTTTAACCATCAATAACGTGATTTAACCATCAACAACAGCGAAACAATTGGGTTTAACATGGTTTAACCATCAACAACGGCGAAACAAATGGTAAGGGCGAAAAAAAATGGTGATGTAAACATCAACAATAGCCGAAAAGAATGGTTGTGATGATTTGGATTGATCATCAACGATGGGAGTATTACCATGGTAAGATGGTATGTATGTGTGTGTACTTGGTATGGTCATCCATCCCATACTGGGAATCCAAACAGAATGGGTCTTGGGTTTTTGTCAAGCCCCTATGGAAATGGACTGATGCATATTTATGACAGTACCTCCAAGGAACGGGTTAATCCAATCCAACTAACGTAACCATGACACATATGTACAACGTGTGTTGGTCCATATTCTTCAGAGATGTCTATCTTCTATATACTCGTGTCATGATATATGTATAATTATATGATTATATGTGTATATATATATATTTGCGTGTGAGAGTGTGTTTGTGTCTGTGTGTGTGTGTGCATGTGCGTGAGTGTGTGTGATACATATCTCTATATTTGTAGGGATATTGTGATTTATTAAGCATTGTCACTGGATTTTGACAGGTTTTGAATGCGATTGGATGCAAATTCATGAGATGAGATGATGAGATGCGACTACGCTAGATAAGATAGATACTTTCATCAGGTCCATATACATACATACATACATACATTACATTACATTACATTACATTACATTACATTACATTACATTACCATACATACATACATACATACATTACATTACATTACATTACATTACATTACATTACATTACATTACATTACATTACATTACATTACATTACATTACATACATACATACACATATACATATACGTATATGTATGTGTATGTGCATGTATATGTCTATGCATAAATATATATATATATATGTATCAGATCATGGTACGTTCGGAAGATAATGAAACGGACAAAGATCATGGTGGATGTCGTGACCGTGGAGCCACCTGGAAGGCTCGGCACCCATTGCCAGGAATTCTTCACAACAGCACGACGTTGCGTTCAGGTGATTGGAAACGATGGAGTCGATTGCGTCAATATACATACATGTGTATATATATATATATATGTGATTATATATGTATATGTATAGTTGAAACCATGTGCCAGTCCCAGGGCTGTTTTTGAGATGTTGATTGAAAAGTGTACCAGGAGTGTTGACTTAGATACGTTTCAGTGACCGGTGTTTGAAAATGTCTGCTGTAAGATCGGTTGCAAATGTCACCTGGGCGATATTTCTGTAGTCCTGTGGCCTTTTTTTTTGAACCCTCAAGCCGTAGCTGAGGAAAGCATTGGCATTTCATGTGCTTTCCTCAGATGTGATCAAAACGTAGTGACTTACCCTCTGGTAAACTAACATAGCTATTGAAAATGACCATTTATAGTGGATTTACCCATTAAAAATTTTGATTTTCCATAGTTATGTTAGTTTACCAGAGGGTACTGTATCAAGACGCATGGTCCAATGATGTCCAATGGATTCCAATGGCGCACTCGAAAAAAGCAGCGCCCAGCCGCTGACGTCGTGGCCTCTCTTTTCCGAGCTGGTCCCATGGCCTCTCGCATGACATGCACGACCTCATGACACATGGCAGCTGTCTTGATCTATCAACGAGGATGCTACAGCTACTCTGAGTTTCACAAAGTCCAAGTATGTCCAAGTGTTAGTTTTGAAAGTTTACGGGAACATCAGGAACATCCACCAAAATCTTCAGTTCATTTTCTCTGTTCGGCCGTAAATTGCTGGGTCAATGTGGGTCAATCCTCCATTCTCAGGCTGAGTTGAGACGGCGACTCCCTGCACGCAAGAGAGAAACCACAGCTTGCCGGTTCTCCTGCGCACAAGGGATGAGGTGCATATTATGGGGCAGCTGCTTCCGAGTCAACATTCAGAAACTGAAAGGTGTTTCCATGGCTTCCATTGGTTTACCAATTCAGCACATCATTTTTTTGCGAGATTGTTGGCCATGTTGGATGTGCGCCTCGTCAACGACAGGTGCCTCTTCAGCAATCCGCGCCACCTTTGGCACTGTAACGATGACACCCAAAAAAGTGAATCGAACGCTGACCAAAATCCATCAAAATCCATCCGATATCAGTTTTTTTCTTTTTTTCTCCTGCAACCTCCGAAAAGATAGAAGAGTAATTCACCAGTGGGCTTTTACCTGATTATCATGATATATCATGATTTCACTACTGTATGTTCTATCTGATTCTATCTCTTAAAGAGATAGAACTTTGGGGGGCAACGAAATCTCTGCAGCCATGTCTCAACCCGCCTCATCATGGTCCTCCTCCACCCACCGGTCGATAGGCAAACGGCCCCGGCGGTCCTCAGTGCAGCCCGATGTTTCCAGCGACTGGACTGGTTCAAGCCCAAGCTGCCAAAAATTGAGTCACTCAGGGGTCACTTGGGGTTCAAAGCTCAGCACCCCAGGAATTTTTACATGCGGCTGGATCTCCTGGATTGTTTACTCACCAAATCCGATCACTAGAACCAAGGCAGCAACCTGCAAACATGGAGATGCGCCGGCTTTCAGCAACTCCTGCAAGGTCGATTTGACAAAAACCCGGCTGACCTGGGATTCCCATGGATTCCCCTTGCCACCACCAGTGCCTCTATAACCCGAACGTGGCCCAAATAAGCCTTGGCTGCCAACTCCAAGAGCCGCAGGGAAAAGCGACATGATAATTTGATCATATTTGATCCATACGCACATGGATTTGACTGACAATATGGTACCACAAAATGTCATGCTGATTTATGGTTGAAAAAACGGTGTTCCCCATTCAAATGACCAGTTTGGGTACTCTGCAATTGGTACATGTCGACATGTGCTCCACGCTTCGCATTCAATCGTTTGAAGCTCTTGAAGGTTCCATTATAACGTGCATTGCTCACCCCCATCAATTCAATAATTATATGGAACCCCCCCCCCAAACGTGTCTGGAAACTGATTTCAATATAAAGTGGTTCCATCTGCTTAACATTTTTTCGTAGTGCCTATATAACTCTATATATACACATAATTATAAATATAATCATATCTGATCATTAATATCTATATTAGTGTCCTTTAATTATTCTTTTATAGAATTTTAATCCGATATATAATCAACTTTATCCTAAACCCATAGATCTATCTATACATATATATATATGTCAGATGTATGTGTCCTTTATCCGTTCTTTTTCCCATATAGATCTGGCCCCGTTTGTTGCCCAGGTGGCAGCAGCATGGAGCGCCGTGCCATCGGTGCGATGCCTTGGTTCCCGAAACACATCGGCGCTTTTTCCATGGGAAAATCGTGGGAAAATCATGGGAAAATGATGGGGAAATGGAGGTTAGCTGGGAATATCATGGAACTACAAAATCCCCCCATCTAGTTCCATGTCAAACTCGAAGTCCATGTTTTGCAGCAAAAACATGCAAATCAAGAACATAGTTGACATTGATGTATGGTAATGTCGGAAACCCAATGCCATAAACCATCCCCAAAATCACCACAAATGGGTGGTATCCAGACCATCCTCAGTAGGCTTATATATGATTGGGTTTGCCACATTAGCCCAGTTTTTTTGGGGGGACAGCCACTTTCTGGGTCATATTGGATTATAACGTGTTATACCCTCTGGTAATTTAACATAGCTATTGAAAATGGCCCATGTATAGTTGATTTACCTATTACAAATTGTGATTTTCCATCTTTATGTTAGTTTACCAGAGGGTAACACTCCAATACCCATGAATCCTGATACACTCCTTGGCACGTAACAACTGGGGAAACTTCTGACCCAACTTACCATTTAAGACGCGAATTCATGCGAATTCCAGTGCTAAAGTATGAGCATACCAAAATACCTGCACAGTTTTGCGCGTAATGGTATATGTATATATATATATATAGTCAATAAATAGTCAATAACTATACGAAGGTTCGGAACGACTCTCTGTCACTCAGCTGTGTTTCTGAGCCTGGCACTGACGCACGTCCACCAAGCCCGGAGCAGCTCGGGCAAGTTGCGCCACACAGCCTCGGTGGAACTTGAAGGATCATGGAGATTTCATGGGGATATTATGGGAGATAATCCATATCTATAACTGTATGACTATTTTACATATTATATATATAGTCAGTAAATATTGTTATTATTGTTACAATTATTGTTATGTTGATTGCTATTATTACTGGGTATTATTATCATTATTCTTATATATGTAGATATAAGTTTGAAGTACTTGTGGTATTTTGACATATTTGGACCTGAATGAAAACCACACCCTTTGACACAATGACCCTTCACGTGTGACAGTGGCCAGTTAGAAAAGTGCGATTTCCTGCCAAGGCCATCCCAGCTCTCCACAAAAATCATCGTTTGCGTATGAAAAGGTGTACAAAAAAAAAATACTTGAACCGGACGCAATGTGATCATGATCATGGTCCTTTCTATGCTCAGCTCCACCCTAAACATTTCTATGCGAATACGGTCCAATTCTGCTAACCCAGCGTTGAACATTAAAAGAAAATGCTGTCGTTCGCTTTGCAGTGTCAACCGTACCAAATGTTATCATTGAATATAGTAATCACACATCACACCAAAAATTGCAACCAATAGTTCTAGTCATAGATATAATTCCAATTCTAATCAGTTGCATAGATATATATATATATATGTGTGATATTTATATGATATAAGTCATAGATAGGTATGTATATATGTAATCATATATACATGATATGAATCTAATCAGTTGATATAAATCAGGTCTAACCATAGATATTGAATGATATTGATATGATATAACTATAGTCTGTCATATAGTTGGCTGTTTCTTGGACCTCAAAAACCTGCCGATGGTGGTGCGACTTTCAGCAAAGCACCTGCCGAGCCGGCTAAGGCTGCACGATGTAAAGGCGTCGCTCCAGAGGCATCTCTGGCCTTCCGAAAAACCCATGGAGGTCATGATAAGGGAATCATGTCAAATTATTTGAAAATGATTGATTAATATTGATTAATTATTGATATTTATTGCCTTTGCAAATGGGAGTCTGACAGTCTGAGCTGAGAATGTTGGGGTTGCTTCCCAGATTTTTGGACCCCAAACTACCGCAAAATCCACATCCGTCAACAAACCGCGCAATCATCACCTTCCAGACCTGGTTTTCAAGTCAGTGTTGCACAAAAGGCCCCGATTTGGGCGACAAAACCCGATTTGGGCGACAAAAGGGATGCTTTTCCGGATGGTTTCCATGATTTTTCCACGGGTTTTCCAAAAAAAAATTGCACAATGATTCAATGGATTGGTTTAAGGGAAAATCTACAGGAAACCATAGGTTTTCTCACTAAATATGGGGTGTTCCATGGTTTTCCTGTAAATTTACCCTTAAACCAATCCATTGATTGATCCAGCAGTCAGCACCTCAGGATCCGCTCCGCGATCCAACAAGCGCTGCACCTGGACGGGATGGATTTTTGGATCTCGGGATCTCGGGAGCCTTGGGAAAAGACGGTAAACTCATGCAAATTACCCTCTGGTAATTTAACATAGCTATGGAAAATCACCATTTTTAATGGGAAAATCCACTATTTCTATGGTCATTTTCAATAGCTACGTTAAATTACCAGAGGGTATCCATAAACATGCTATCCATACATACACACACATATATTATATATTATATGATATGATAATAATATGATATGATATTTTATTTTATACTATATTATATTGTATATTGTAGTGCTATAAAACATAAAATTATATATATGTGTATATATATCATAAATCATCCATTTATAAATCATCATAAATTCTAACACGTCACCTATAAATGGGCCATGTTCCAAAGCTATGTTGGCTTACCGGAGTACAACGGGATATAATTAACTCACCAACTAATGTGGTAAACTCAATTGAAAAAAATATAAACCATCCAAAAATGCTAGGTTTATTATTGGGTTTCTGCAGTTTCCCAAACTTCAAGCGATGTAAGATCTTTTTTTGATCATGTATAGATGATACATTTAGATGATGCGTGAATTACCCTCTGGTAAACTAACATAACTATGGAAAATCACCATTTTTAATGGGTAAATCCACTATAAATGGCCATTTTCAATAGCTGTGTTAGTTTACCAGAGGGTATTGCGTAAAACTGGCATATTTCCAGAGTATCAGTCCTGGATCCAACCTGGTAAGTCCTGAGGCTCTCACCGCTTCGGTGTGCCCGCTGAGTGCTGCGATGTGTAGAGGTGATCTGCCCTCCAAGTCCAACTTATCCACCAAGGCGCCTCAAAAAAAATCCCGCTCAAAGGCAGGTAGTCACTAGTCACTGCAAGCGATGATCATCATGTTCCGGAACAAGACATGTTAAGACATGTTAAGATCTCCGAAACTGAAGAATACATCACAAAAAAAAACTATATTCAACTAATAGACCTCAACTATTCAACTATATTCAACTGTTGAGTCTATATCTGAGTTTCGAAGCCTTGTTCCAGGGAATATTCGATGGCATCCATCTTGCCGGCCGATGCAGCCCAGTGAAGCACCGTTTGGCCTGTGCCATCCTCAGCTCTCGCTGCTATGATTTCCGGAATATCTATAGAATTTGAAAGTTAGTGATGCACATATCACTATATGATCATATATCATCATATTATGAAGATAAATTGAATAGGGTCCAGAATTGTTTCGGGAATGATTTTTTTCCCGTTTCGGGATTTTTTTGGGGATCAGTTTTCTGCCCGTTTTCCTTGCTATTTGCAGCATTTTGGAGCTGGAAGCTGCCATTTCAACTTCAACTGTCTTTGCAACATTTTGAAGTTCTCTCCTCTCATTTTCCATAGAATTTGCAGCATTTTGGTGGAATTTGTAACATTTTGGAGCTAGAAGCTGCCGTTTCAACGGTATTTGCAGCATTTTTGCGTTCGAACGTTTCATTTTCGATGGAATTTGCAACATTTTGTTGCTCGAACTGTTCATGTAACATGGTAGGTAGTTTGCAACTAGGGTTCATGTAGGGTTGGTTTAAGGGTTAGTTTAGGGGTTTTGTTTGGCTTTAAGTTTAAGGGTTGGTTTTAGAGTTAGGGTTTATTTAGGTTTTTTAAAGGGTTAGTTTAGGATCTTTTCAGGTTGTGTTTTAGGTTTTATTTAGGCTCGGTTTAAGATCTATTTATGGTTGGTTTAGGACCTATTTAGGGTTGGTTTATGTTGGTTTGAAGTTTGTTGAGGGTTGGTTTAGGATCTATTTAGGCCTGGTTTAAACATATATTTAGGGTTGGTTTCGGTTTATATTTGTTTGGGCTTGGGTGAGCATCTATTTGGAGCTGGTTTAGGGTGTGTTTAGGGTCTATCCAGGTTTGGTTTAGGATCTATCTAGAGTTGATGTAGGACCTATTCAGGATCGGTTTAAGGTGTGTTTAGCGTTGGTTTCAGATTTATTTGTCTGGTTTAAGAATGTTTAAGATCTATTTAGGGCTGGTGTAAGGTTTATCCGGGATTGTATAATTTCAAATTTATTTAGGGATGTTTAGGGTTTACTTAGCGTTGTTTTAGTGGTTCTTTGGTTGGTTTGGGGTTTATTTATGGTTGATTTAGGGTTTATTTATACAAGGATTGTCTGCAGTATGGGAAACAAAAAAGAGGGAAAAGCAGAGAAGCAGAAAAGCAGGTAAGCAAAAAAAACGGGAAGCAAAGAAGCAGGGAAAAGCAGAAAGCAGAGCAGCACAGAAGCTGGAAAAGCAGAAAAGCAGGGAAAAGCAGGGAAAAGCAGGGAAAAGCAGGGAAAAGCAGGGAAGCAGAGAGGCAGCACAGTGGAGAAGCAGAGAAGCAAAGAACTACAAAAGCAGAGAAGCAGGGAAAAGCAGAAAAGCAAAAAGCAAAGAAGCAGGGAAACAGAAATCAAAAAAAAACAAAGCGGAAAAAAATAATTCCCGAACAAAATAGCCCTCCGGACTCCGAAGTGTCTATCTTGTAGATGCGTATTTTGGAGGTGTGGGATGCCCCTATTTCAGGACATACCCCATATATACATATATATATAATTATATATATCCAACACACCTACATATGTGTGTGTGTGTGTTTATTTAATGTCTGTGCGTTATAGAAAATATACAATAGGTGTGTTTTTGGATCATAGCTCAGCCGGTTTCCTCCTGATTTTTGGGGTCAAAAAAACCTTGGTCCTTTCGGGATGATTCCGCCATATTCCGCCGACCTGAGCTCAGGCACCACAACATTTGCCTCGTACTCATCCAGGAAGTCGGACAGTGTTGGCAGATCACGCACAGCCTGGAGCCATCTATCTCCGAAAAAAAACAAATCGATGGATAGTGATCCATAATGATCCATAGTCATAGTATGTCATAGTGTGATTTTAGATGATGATTTCAGATCATTAGCACTTTTTTTGATTCATAGTAACTAGATGTGACTCAGATGTGACTAGAGATCATTGGAGATGATTAGATAACTGATGGTTGGAGATGGTTCGAGAGATACATATATGGATAAATAGCGACTACATATTATATTCAGGATGATTGGCAATTGTTAGTGACTGTTATTTGTTGACTGATTGCAGTGACTGAATATTCGGCCATCAATCACGATTGATTCTCAATGTCACTGAGCAAATGGCCATTGCAGGGGTCACACGCTCCTTGCTTCCTCTGCTGACCATGCCACCAAATGCTGGATGTGGCCATGCCATGCCATGCCATGGTCTGCCATGGTGCAGGTGGCACAAGAACCGTCCTCTGATGACGGGAAGAAGGCACCTCACTTGTGATGTCAAGATTGTCAAGGCACTCTTTGAGTCTGCGAAATCAAAACCCAATCAAAGAATATCCAGGATAAGGCTGGCACAGCAAGCTTGCAGCAACATGGAAGACCAATTTTCCGCCCCTGCAGCCGGCACGGAAATAGAGTGCGCTACGAATTTGAGCGCCTGGGCATGGAATCTCAACTCATCCCTAAAGGAAATTGACGCTACCTTTTTGAGAGGACCCATGCTACTTCAAGTGTCTGCAGGCCTGCACGACATGTTTGACGCCAGAATTGGATCGGTGACGCGCTTTCAGAAAAACGAGCGAGAGCTTGCACTTCTGTCATTCCTCATGCTGACTTTGGGATCCCCAAATTCCCAGTTGCGTGGCGTTTTGGGGAATTAAAACTTCGAGACCTTTTTTGGATGAGAAGCCAGGAAAGCCCGAAGAAACAAAGGTCTGACATGACACGGTCGTCTTCACGTCATGAGCTCGGGGCAAATGTTTGCATCTCACAGCTGGACTTTTACCTTTGAGCCGAAATCATCCGAACAGTTTTCCAGAGCAGCTTGGAGTGGCCAAACCTCGACGCATGGCTGACACGAAATCGGGTGCAGCGCACTGAAAGAAGACGTCATCCAAGCTGTTTGTCATGATCGAACTAGGCCACATGGCCAAACGAAGATCGCGAAGTTTCTGCGGAAGATTCTCTCCAGCAAATTTGCTGAAAGACTTCTTATGTACAAACAAAGGCCCTGCTCGCACTGAACACCTCTCCAACATCCTCATTTTGGATTTGAAAGTGCGTTTGACCACAACAGTTCCACAGCTTTGCGCGACAGGGACCCCTGTATTATTATAAAGGTGTGAATTTAACCTGCACTCATGAAATCTTTGTTCATCTCACAGATGGCTCATGGGTCTGCACATTGCCCTCCAGTCAACTGACAGCCTCCTGGTACAACAGGACCAATGCCCAACTTGCCATGACTTGCAATGGAAAACAATGGAAAACACATACCCAACAACATATGGGCTCGTCATCGAACAGCATCCACATCATAACGTCAACCCCGGAGTCATGCTGAACTCCTCTGTTCCGTTTAATGTGAAACATTTTCGGGGGGTAGGGGGCCTCCTGATTGATCAACAAGGGCCGTTTTCTTTTTCAGCGTTGACAGCAACCATCCAAACCATCCAAGTGGAAGGCCTGTTTCAAGGCATAGCTCTGAAAATCCAGATCGCACATGGTGGACCTTGGACCCGATGTCCGAAAGTAATCAGGTTAAACTATGATTCAAATCCCTTTTCTTGGGGTATGGCCTTCAATAACTGCCAGTATTTCTGGAATTATTGCCTTTTTATGACTTAATTGTTGAATTTAATGTTCATTGATTCCATTGGCTTCCAAAGTGAAGCCAAATCTGAGTTCATTGCTGGAAACGCGTGATCTCCTGAGATGCCAAGCTTTCGGTGAATCCAAAGTCTTGCCCCCCCACCCAAAAAAAGCTCAATTTACCAAGGAAGGCACCAGAGATCTCATCATCTTTGGACTACCTCAGGATCCAGTGACTGGTGACTGGAGCTTTTGGCTGGGAAAATCGGCGGAGAGATTTGTCCGAAAATGGGGGGTACCTAAATCTGATTCACCATTTTCCAAAGAAATGTGCTGTTTCATACACCCCAAGCTCGGGGATCTGACATTGTTTTCTGTAGCCTGCCTTTCTCACCAACTTCTCCAGTACAGCCTCTTGCGACATCCCCTCCTCCAGAATCACTTCAGGGAGAAGGGTGGCCTTGGTCTGGGATCAGAGGATAACCCCCAAGTAGTTAGTGATGTTTAGTGCTTGTGGGGTTAGTTCATCCAGGTGTAAATGGGATAACCCAGGAATAGGGGAAGTGATCCTTCACCAGGATCATTCACCAGTTGCCACGTGGGATGATCCTAAGGCCTAAGATGTTTTTCCTTGGTGAAAAATGTGAACTTGGTGAAAAATGTGAAAATGGCCTAGGGCACGGGCACCTCCAGATCAATGGGAATTTCAGGATCCTAAAATGGAGGTACTGTACCATAAAAGACCATATTTAATGGGGTTGTTCCCTTGGTACCTCCAATTTAGGTTCCTGACATGGCCATTGACCAGAACTCGACTTAATGGTCCATAATCACAGTCTCCGTTCAACTGGTCAATTTGCCACGCGTTGGTGGCAAATATTGGTAAACCCCTGTAAATACCACATGTTTGGACCAACCAATAAAGCTACTGAATGCTAATTAAGTAAATATAAATCTAAGTTTCAAGGTCCCAGATGTTCTCTGCTTTGGGGCTGAGCCACGGTGTATTTGCAGGTGCTGCAAGGGCAAAAGCTGCAAAACGCCGCCTGCACTGGATCCAGGAGATTTGAGAGGGGCTTGTAGGGCAGAGTTGGGCGCTGATGATTGGGTAACATTGAGATGTTGTATGAATGTCAAGGATATTGATGGATTTAACTGCTGAGTGGGGTGGAAAGCCTATGGTAGCTGGGGTCCGCAAATGCTATGTTTCTACGTCCACTGCCACCGAGAACCAAACACTAAAAGCCATGGTGACGCCATGGCTGCCCAGCTTCCAATCCAGTGGATCCTTGGCGCTCTCGCCCCGGCATTTGGAAAATGCAAAAAATGGAAGTCATTAGCCCAAAATGACTGGCAAAGGAATATTCATCCCCTCAATATCTGGCATCATATATACATATATATATATATGTGTGTGTGTGTATGTGTGTGTGTGTGACATCTGAACAGATGTAAAACTTCTTAATTTTGAATGATTATACGTTTGCAGGGGGCTGCAGGGAATGTCATAGTTCTGCAGCCAACGAAGACGGCTATGACATTCTGTGATATTGATCCGGGACGCTGGATCGACGTACCTGCTAACTTTCAGAAATGGGAAGAGGCTCAACCCAAGAACCTCCACGTCGTTTCATGTGAAATTTCAATTTACTGCACTGTTGTTGCAATCTGGAATCAATTTTGGTCATTTACGATTAGTTCAGCTGCATCAGAACCTTCCTCAGTATTTTCGCCGAAACCATGTCGCCGACAGTATTTTGATTTTCTGGATTATTTCGCCGAAACCATGTCGCCGATGTATTTGGATTATTTTGTCAAAACCACGTCGCCGATCTATAATTTTTGATGACGATCTTGGACATGGAAACCATTCAGGAGAACTTCTATTATTCGTAGGATGCATCGTTAATTTCGTTGTTTCGTATCTAATCTGCATGTTTCAGGATTCAGTTCCTGCCGGATCATATAATGATCCATTCTTGTCTAGTGTGTGTGCGCGGGTAGTTTAATATGTACATGGTTATATATATATATATAATACAGCTATATATATATAGTTATACCGTAACAGGTTTGGACCCATTAAAAGATATCAAAACATAACACCCCTGTTCCTCTTCGCCACGGTGCAGAGCATGGCTCAAAGCTGTGGAGAATGGACACTCGACAAGTCAGCGTTTTCACCTTCAGCAGTGTCCATTGCGCAACAACCGTTGTCCACGTTGTAGTTGGAGGTGGATCTACAATAGTATGTTGGAGGTTCCTTGTATACATTTGTATACTCAACCCCCCATAGGTCCTTACGCAACTTGCATCTCCCCATCTGAAAACATGGGGGTCCTTGTTCTCACCAATCTAGGAGTGGAACTAAAATATAGTAAAATCTCAATTTGAAACCACCAACATCCATCTACCAGGCACTTTTTTCATGATGAGGCAAATCATGGTAAACCGGTAACCCACCGTGCCTCCTTTAAGGTGATGGGCGAAAAGCGTAGGTCGTACAGGGCACTGGTGAGGGCGTAATCTGAAAGGCCACCTACCGTCACAGCAGCCAGGGCGTCTTCCGGAATGTCTTATCAAGTTAGAGACCCCTGCTTTGATGGCCAAGAAAACAGGAAAAACGATGAAAAACATAGTTCAGTATTCAGTACATTTTAATATATGTTAATATGGGTTTCCGCAAGTTTCCCCTGAAATCAAAGCAGTGACTATGGCATGACGGCATACTATGGCACAGATGGCACAGGGCCCTAAGGCGCCATACGGTGAAGTTCGATCGGCTGCAGCGTGCCCATACCTCTGCCCCAAAAACCGTCGAAAAGAAAATGAGCAAAGATTGTTTGGAGATGTTTGGCTGGTGGCACAACCACCCCGAAAAGAGCAGTAGCCAGGGATCATCAAACAAACTATCTGAATTTAATCCCAGTATACCCTCTGGTAATTTAACATAGCTATGGAAAATCACCATTATTCATGGGAAAATCCACTATAAATGGCCATTTTCAATAGCTATGTTAAATTACCAGAGGGTAATCCCAGTATATTAGAAGCAATCTTGCTTGATCATCCAGTTTGGTACTGTGGATGGTTGCCAAATCCTGCTGGCTCCTGGGCTCCCGACAACCTCTAAGGCCCTGAGGCGTGTGCCAACCAACGAAAAGTCCTGGCACCTGCAGGATGCATTGTTTACGTACGAACATACAGGTTTACATACGCATGTACTCATTGTTGTCCCTTCATACACTAGAGTACATCCCTTGTACTGGAATAATACGGAGATTGGAATAATTTGGACTACAATACATCTATTGAGTTTGCACGTAAGGAAGTTCCCGGTTTTGGAAATCACAAACTACAAGTAGGTCGGTTGATGCAATGAACAGCAAGTAATGCAATGAAGCACAAGGCAATGAAATGCAAGTCGATTTCATGCCATACAAAGTTGGATAAGATAGCGTGTGGATGGCAGCCATGCAGGGGATATACATGAGTTTCAGCATTTCTACACATAGCCACCCAAAGAATGGGAGTATATATAGAGTGTTATAAATATAGGCATCATAATGCTATTGCAAAGTGCCGACATGTCCCAACCTAAGCATGAGAGTGTGCCACAGGTAGAAATGTGAGCAAAGACGCGACTATCCTTCATAGAGCATCATAGAGCTCAACGGCAAACGCTGGAAAGATGTCTCTTCAGGGCCTGCTTTTGTAAATCTTGAGCGTCCCAGCAAACGCCTCGTTACCACATGTTACCACTCGGCATCTCAACATATCTCGACTTATCTCGAGATCTGAGGCATTCACGCTGAGATGAAAGCGATGGCAAAGGAGTTCCTTGCAACTTTGCCTCACCAGGAGATTTCTGGGTTACCATGGTTGACCCGCAACAAGCAATTGTCTTGGAGCTTCCTTAGGTGGCGACCAGCAAGACTTTGAAGCAAAAGCTGCACAGCTCCTGGCCGCCAAACAAAAAAAAATGCCTCGTGGTCCTGGATCTTTATCCCCATGTTGTGTATGTATGTCTGTCTGTCTGTCCGTTCGTCCGTCCGTCTGTACGTACGTACGTATGTATGTATTATAATGTATTGTAATTGTAATGTAATGTAATGCAATGCAATGTAATGTAATGATATGTAATGTAATGAAATGTAATGCAATGCAATGCAATGTAATGCAATGTAATGTAATGTGGATGATTATGTATGATTATGTATGATTATGTATGATTATGTATGATTAATATGTATGTATCGTATGTATGTAATGTAATGTAATGTAGTGTAGTGTAGTGTAATTTAATGGTATGTATGTATGTATGTATGTATGTATGTATGTATGTATGCATGATTATGTATGATTATGTATGATTATGTATGATTATGTATGATTATGTATGATTATGTATGATTATGTATGATTATGTATGATTATGTATGGTTATGTATGATTATGTATGATTATGTATGATTATTTATGTATGATTATGTATGTATGTATGTATGTATGTATGTATGTATGTATGTATGTATGTATGTATGTATGTATGTTTATGTATGTATGTATGTTTATGTATGATTATGTATGATTATGTATGTATGTATGTATGTATGTATGTATGTATGTATGTATGTATGTGTATGTATGTATGTATGTATGTATGTATGTATGTATGTATGTATGTATGTATGTATGAGTATGTATGAGTATGTATGAGTATGTATGAGTATGTATGAGTATGTATGATTATGTATGATTATGTATGATTATGTATGATTATGTATGATTATGTATGATTATGTATGATTATGTATGATTATGTATGATTATGTATGATTATGTATGATTATGTATGATTATGTATGATTATGTATGTATGTATGTATGTATGTATGTATGTATGTATGTATGTATGTATGTATGAACATATGTATGTATGAACATATGTATGATATGTTATATTAATCTATATTGGATTATATATCTATCCCCATCATCCCCTTATCTTGGTGTTGACCAATGTCCATACTTCACCACTGATGCTGTCGTACAAGATGATTGAGGTACCCGTCCTCTGTCGCAGTAGGCCTGACAACTTTGAACTCACATAATCACCAAGAACTTCTGGTGAGCAATGTGATACACCAAGCAATTTTTATATATTATCATCCCCTTAACCATGTGTTAGTCACTTTACATCCTACTGCTAGGGTTGTATCCAATGTCATAAACCATCATAAAGCCCAATTGGGGACGGTTTATGATATCCCATAAAGAAATCCCACGATTTTATCATATTCCCATAAACCCATTATCCCCATAATCATGGAATATATGATAGTTATCCCAATGATTATGGGAATCATATATGATAACATTGGGATAGAAATAAACTATCATAAACGATAGATATTATATATATATTATATATATTATATATGATAGTTATTATCCCAATGTTTAAAAATGTTTAAAATATGGTCATCCCATATCCCGCATCTGGAGAATGATCCAGGACTCGGTTCACTGAGTTCGGCTCGTGTCTTCTCGCTTCACCTCTGCGTGTCTTTTTAACCGCAGTTGAAAAATCATCCCAAAGCCTCATGAAAAAAGTTCAAAAAGATCACCATTCATACCATTCAGGAGCTAATCAATATTAATCAATTGTCAACATCGGAATGAAAATGCTGGTGAATGATCCAAACCTGAAAATCAAAGGTCGTTTGCGCTGCCGGCATCTGCACCATGCCGGCAGCCACTCGCATGGCGTAGCGGCTCGAGTCAATTCAGTGCTGCGTTCATTGTCGAGAACTTGGAGCAACGGTAACGTAAGTGTTGGCTATTGAAAATGAAAATGTGTATATAGTTGATTTACTTGTAACATTACTTGTATATCTTTCCATACTTTACATAGTTATGTTAGTTTACCGGAGGGAAAAAGACTGACAAAACCATTCGAAAGCCTAACATTTCACCAAGCCTTTGCTGACGCCCAAGGATGAGGAGTCCACTTTTCTGCTATGGCGGCGACTGGAGTCCATCAACGCCCGAAAACTTCCGCTCTGCGGAGTCGATGCCAGGGACACCTCTTGGTGAGTGCCCTAGGGACAAACTGTGGCACAGTTTTTGGACTGGAAGATGTTTGAATTGTTTCATTTCAAAAGTCATTAATTAAAGACGTTCAAGGCTATATAAATTATATATAGAGATGGATAGAAGGCAAGAACAAGAGAAATATATATATAACTATATATAATATATACATATATGCTCATGTCGAGATGATCAAGTTGTTGAGCGTCCAAAAACTGTGAGTTTTTTCAGGGCAGGAGTGTTCTCCATCCGATGCATGAGAGAAGTGCCATCGGTACCAATAAGAGAAGCAGAAGTGCTTCGAAGTGTCAGAAAACAGCACTGAATAGTAATACATGAGAGGTATCAATGGGAAATCCCTATGAAAAATGGAGGTATCAATGGGAAATAGTAATACTCTCCGGTAATCAAACATGAGAGGCAGGGAAAGCCCATGAAATCCCTATGAAAAATGGAGGTATCAATGGGAAAACATGGGAAAACGTTCTCCTTCATATCGACACCCCACCACATCGAATCACTCTCCGCTTCATTTTGTAATCGAGACTGCACACCGTCAGCGAGACTGCCTAGATGACAGCTATCTGTCCATTAAAATGGGTTGTCTGAAAATCAGGGAAAACATGGGTTTAAACATGGTTTTCTCCATTCCGTCCACTGGTAAAACTGTGGGAACACTCATCACTGTCCCTCTTTTTTCGTAATATTTTAATGTATCTTAATAGCTATATGGCTTTGAGTCAAAGCCTTGGTACCCGGATGGTACCCCCAAATAGCATCAAATAACTGTTTTATGGATCGTGATTCCCCCAGTCATATGGTAAGATAGGGTAACTTGACCCACTGCTACAGATTTAAATATAGTTTACTCCAATGCTATTATTTCAATCCAGTATTTTGAAGCAGTTTTTTCTGGATTCAGTGGGATTCTATCCCCACCGTCTTCACCCCATTTTCAGGTCCTCTCCCTTTAGGAGATCAGACTTTTTCCCTCGTCGGAGCCGCCACTGTGACGGCTGCACCGCTGACCACGCCCTGGCGATGGAGAATTGGAGGGTATCCCTGAGTACCTCCAGTTGTGGCTAGCTCTAGCTGCATGCTTACTTATTGCTTATTTAGAAAAATATCACATAAACATATATATATATATATAATCACGTGTAACATAGATGTAGATATTAGATGCAAATATTGAGCTACCAGTACGTATATATATATATATATAATTATATATATATATCTCATTCATGTCATTCATGTGTATAGACGGTGGAAGATTTGGTTCAGCAGCAACCTGGGTACCAGTGAGATCACTGAGGTTGAGACCTGATCTTTACCTCCAGTTTGGTCCGCTGGGACCGGGCCTCGCACCCCGCACCAAAGAGACCCACTTCTCGTTGGGAAACGGATGTACATGGATGCACATGGATGGACATGGTTCGTAAACCGGTCAAAACCCAGTTTTATAGGCAAAATTTCCAATCTTACATGGGGTGGTTAATAATTTAGTAAGGGTGATGATTTTTTTTAGGATTTTTTGTTTTAAATGTTTTTGGGTTTTTCAGTCTGGGGCAGCTTTCCTTGCTATTTGCTACATTTTGGGGCTAAAATCTCTGATTTGCATGCTATTTACTGCACTTTGGAGCCAAAATCTCTGACTTGTGTGCTATTTGCTGCATTTTGGAGCTAAAATCTCTCCGACTTGCGTGCTACCCGCTGCGTTTTGGAACTTATCTCTCATTTTGCATGCTATTTGCAGCATTTCGGAGCTGAAGTCGTATTTTGGGTAGCAAAAATCGTAAATTTGCAAGAGAACTGCAACATTTTAGTTGTCACCCATTTTCCCGTGGTTTTCAATGGTTTTCATCGCTTTCTTGATCGTCTTCAGTGATCTTTCCGTGGTTTCAAAGATTCTTTAGGGTTTCTTCCAGGGTTCTTGAGGGTTTAGGGTTTCATTTGGGGTTTCATTGAGGGTTTCTTTAGGGTGTCGTTTAGGGTTTCTTTAGGGTTTCTTTTAAGGTTTCTTTAGGGTTTCATTTAGGGTTTCATAGGATGTCGTTTAGGATTTTTTAGGGTTTCTTTAGGGTTCCGTTCTTGGGTTCTTTAGGATGTCATTTAGGGTCTCTTTAGGTCTTTAGGGTTTCATTTAGGGATTCGTTAGGTGTCGTTTTTGGTTTCTTTGGGATGTCATTTAGGGTCTCTTCAGAGTTTCATATAAGGTTTCTTTAGGGTTTCGTTTCGGCTTTCTTTTAGGGTTTCATTTCGGGTGTCGTTTAGGGTTCCTTTAGGGTTTCATTTAGGGTTTCTTTAGGGTTTGATTTAGGGTTTCTTTAGGGTGACGCTTTTGGTTTCTTTAGGATGTCATTTAGGGTTTCTTTAGGGTTTCTTTAGGGTTTCATTTAGGGTTTCTTTAGGGTTTCTTTAACGTTTCATTCAGGGTTTCTTTAGGGTTTCATTTAGGGTTCTTTAGGGTGCCGTTTTTGGCTTTGGGATGTCATTTAGGGTCTCTTTAAGGTTTCATTTAGGGTTTCTTTAGGAATTAATTTAGGGTTTCTTTAGGGTTTCATTTAGGGTTTCTTTCGGGTTTCTTTTATGGTTTCTTTAGGGTGTCGTTTAGGGTTATTCTAGAGTTTCTTTTAAGGTCTCTTTACGGCTTCATTTGGGGTTCCTTTAGGGTTGTTATTTTGGTTTTCTTTTAGGGTTTCATTTAGGGTTTCTTTAAGGTTTCTTTCAGGGCTTCTTTAGGGTGTCGTTTAGGGTTTCTTTAGGGATTATTTTAAGGTTTCTTTAGGGTGTCGTTTAGGGTTTCTTTAGGTTTTTTTTATTGATGGTTTCGTTATTTTCTTACAACAGCATGCATACAAGTTCCTATACTCTGTGTATGTATTTTTTGTGCAGTTTACATCAATGATATATATATATATATACATTATATAATATATATGCAATGTATTACATGAAATGTTATATGCAAACTACAATACTAAAGCCCAACAAACGCCAACGGCCAAGTGAAGTGAACGGCCAAAACCAAAGCCAAGCGAAACCAAAACCAAAAGCCAAACGCCATAAGCCAAGTGAAGCCAAGTGAAGCCAAAGCCAAAAGCCAAAAGCCAAAAGCCAAGTGGGCGCGCAAATGGGAGATTCTAGCTCCAAAATGCATGCAAAACACAGATTTTAGCTCCAAAATGCAGCAAATAGCAAGGAAAGCTGCCCCAGGCTGAAAAACAATTTTAAAAAACTTTAAAAAAAAAAGCCTCCGTTTAGTAATTGTGTAATTAATATCTTCTTTAGTAATATACCCTCTGGTAAACTAACATAGCTATGGAAAATCACCATTATTAATGGGAAAATCCACTATTAATGGTCATTTTCAATAGCTATGTTAGTTTACCAGAGGGTATCTGTTCCAGACAGCCACTGAGTTCGCTGCTGCCGATGACGACCTGCTGATTCTCTGCAAACGCTGTGACCGGCCTTGGGATCGTCCCATTTCTGGTATCCAGTCGGCACCAAACCACCTAAAAACTGACATCGTCCCCCCCAAAAAAGACAAGAAAGCGTGTGAAGACTTACATGGCGTGTATATGATTGTATATTGTGTATATACATGTATATACACAATTTGTTTATTCGCTCTGGTAATCCAGCAATCAGAAATCCCCGAATTAGATCGAATTAGATTTATAGGCTGGAATCATCCTTGATTTTTCCAGCGCGCCATGTTTTCTCAGCTTGCTGCGTCGACTCCTCTTTTTGCCTCCGCCTTCGTACCAGGACTAGGATCACCAGCATTAGCACCTGCTGTCGAAAAACACGTCAGGGCCTATGGAGAAATCTCCCACCCCCAAAAAAAAAGTGAATTTTGGGTGAATCCCTTGGAATTCAAGGTAAAATCACCCATCTGCATAATGTCTTCTAAATCCGCCGATTCAGGGCCACCGTCCCCAAGAATTCACCATGATCTTAGGCTTGCAATGACTTGCAATGACTTACAATCCACCACGAGGTGAGATCTATCATGATCTATCACAATTCTGAGCTCAGTACAACGACAACCACTCCAGTGACAGAGAGCAAAATCGCCTCAGCCCGCTGCTGTCTACGGCCGAGCAGAGAAGAAAGACTTAGACTTGGCACTGTCTACGGCTCGCCACGGTGCTGAGTCCACAACCAGAACTCGTGACAACCCCGTGCTCTCTTCTTCTGCGCGGATGTTCACACACACACATATTATATATATATATATATATATATCTATGTGTGTGTGTGTATTTATTTATGTTAATATTATATTATAGTTTAATTAAACATATACACACACACATATATATATATATTATATAATTATGTATGTATATATATATATATTATAAGTAAATATATATATATATGTAAATATATATATATGTAAATATATATATATGTAAATATATAATAATAATATATATATATACATAAATATACATATATATATAATATATAAATATATACATATAAATATAATTATAATATTATATATAAATCACATTGCGTAAAAAAAATATTGGCGGATATTGGCAGAGGAGAAATCGGATGATCGGAGTATTGATGATTCGCGATACTTGATGATTGCCTCCTTTTCATCCAGGTGTTGCAGCCCGATGGTATGACCATCGACCCCAACAGCATGCTCCGGCCTTTTCTTTGCAACGAGTCAAACCTTGGCTGGCAAGAACCCTACAAGGTCCATTTCGTAGAGCATTTCCCAGATCTCAGTGTGAGGCGTGTCTTTGTCAAGACCTTCGTCAGGATACGTCCGTGCAGCCTGCGGATCGACGCTTTGGGAAGTTCAACATTTTTTTTCTCGGCGCATCCTCAGTGGCCAACCCCAACCATCCCAACCCAGCAAATAGTGAGGTGTTCTACCCCATTTCTACCCCAAACATCTAGAGGGCCATCAGGTACCATCAGGTACCAAGATCAAAACATATCCAAAACTCTGGAGCTTTGGGGTTGCCAACTTGAACTTGCCTGCCTCTGTGATCAAGTGCGTGTAGTACGCATTGATGTTCTGAATGCGATTCTCCACCTGAAAAAAATACTGGCGACATGTTTGCTAATGGTCTTGTATGGTAAGCAATGTCAACTTCGGGCGTGTAGAACCATATCATGGCCGGTATTGGCCGGTCAATTCATGTCAATTCCATTGGGATGATCTAAAATCTGGGTCGGATAATCTCAGAACCTGCAGAATCAAATATTATCAAATCACCAAAGCTGTCTAGCAGCAGCCGCGATTTCGCCTCGTGCCGAGTTCCAGTCGACATGGCTTGGTTGGCTTCCAGAACCAGTTCGTTTCTCCGAACCATTAGCTCCTTCAAAAAGGCCAAACTGCAGCAACACATGACCCAAAAGCCAGCCCAAATCCAGCAGAAATGTCCCATTCTTGTGGCGCCAAAGGTCCTGCATTTGCCGGTTGGGTCCAAGCTTCAAGTTTTCTCGCCGAGCAATGTCTGTTAACAGGTCCTCCGGAAAGCATCGGAAAGCTTTGAGCATTTGCAGCTTGTCCGACATCCAACATCCCAGCGGGTCCCAGCATCGGCCCAGCGGATCCCAAGTCCAAAGGACTCGGTCTCGGCCTGTCCATTGTCCCAGATGTCTGCCTCAAGCGTTTTCTTCACCTGAAACACCGTGGTCAAGATGGGCTTGGCAATGACAAACAGACAATGCCGCCATGCCGCCATGCCTCTTCTGTGCCCTCTTCTGTGAAAGCGGGGCAGCCATCTGCCATCATTTTTCAGATGAGGATGGGTGAAATATGCTTTGATAATGTTAATATTGAAAACCCAGCGACCGGACACAATTTGCATACAGTCTCTCTCTCTCTCTCTCTCTATGTATATATACATATATATACATATATATATAGTATTATATAGTGTGTTTTCCTATTTTTGATACTAGTCGTGCTCAATTTAAAGTATGAATCCGGTGTTTTGGTGGCCAATTTTGGTGCAGGTTTTGAAGAGATGCCCGGGAATGGCCCTCGCGGAGAAGCAGCTGTCATGTCATGTTCAAGTGGGCTCATAAGGTACAGGGACAATCTCAGTCATCGCAAAATACCGAAAAAATACAGCAAGATAAGGGTGGGTTGCTATTCAGATCCCAACATGACACTGGCCACATGTTGGGGAGGTGACTAGCCGTGAGAAGCCGGGTGAATTGATGCAAAACAAGCCAGGCTCCACCGCAAGTGCACTGATAGACGGGATCTCTGCTCTGCGTAGCCTCATGTTCATCAGGAAATGTCGGTGGGACTATGGAATTCTCGGAAAAAAACATGTCGTGATGATTCATGTTGGGAGCCCAAAATGTTCCATTTTCACATATAGTTCATCCCAACAGTCTTCCTATAGTTAATCCCAACAGAGTTCCCATGATTCATGTTGATTACCCTCTGGTAAACTAACACTTTGCAATGGAAAATGGCCCATAGAAATAGATGGCTTGCATTGGTTTACCTATTAAAAACAGTGATTTTCTATAGCTATCTTAGTCATTACCAGAGGGTAACTTCATTTTCCCACATCGAAAAAAAGAATGGTGGGGGCCCTGGGGTCTGGCAACTGGAGCTTGAGGCTTCGACCCACCAAGGAACACCTGGCGACCATAAAGGGAGCGAATCTCTGCGGGAAGCCACAAAACTCACTGGCCAATGGAATCTTTAAGATATATCCGGATAATTCCGGATATGACTACTATTCTTATTCTGAATATTACGATTAGCAATCTTGTTCTGAATTTGTTGTTGTCAATATTCTTCTGCTCGAAACATACCCTCTGGTAATCCGTGGCAATTTCTGGCTAAATCATCTAGCTAAATGGTATTAAATGGTGATTTTCCAGCAAGCCATGGAGCTTACCAGAGGGTAAATCCCATGAAATCTCCATCCCGCCTACTTGGTAGGAATTTTTGGGAGGCGGTTGTTTAGTCTTGATATATCTAAATTAGCGGTTTTTAGTGGATTTTAGCAACCTTTAGCGGTTTTCAAGCCATATATAAAGATCACAGGAAATTAATCAATCTATCTCGGTGTCCTTTTTAATTGTGTTTCCAGGTTTTCCCCTTTGGCTTCTGCGCTTTAGATATCTACCAATTCTACGGTCCTTCCTACGCTCGCGATAATCGCAAAGTGGGGGGGATCCAACCAGGGTTCTTTACCGAAAGCTTACTAACCAGGGAGAGAAAGAAGGGGCTCGGGATAAGACAAAGAGTATAGTGACGGACAATCACTTAGAACGTATTTTGGAAAAATTTTCTGAATATTACTGCTTTTTTTACGTTCTAAGCCTTGCACTTAGAACGTCGAAAACCATACACTTAGAACGTCCAAATATCAAGATTCATCACTTAGAACGTACCGGGGATTTAACACTTAGAACGTGTCTAGGTCACTGATGATAGTGGAAAGGCTTGTGAAATATTTTATCTCTACGTGTTGGATCCAGCAGCTAATTCCGTAGGAAGCATAGACATAATTTCGTACCATTTGGCTTTTCCCTCCCATATGATGTGCAAATATTGGCGATCTTTTATCTCTGGAACACTATACCTTTTGGTGCTTTTTGGGGGTTCTGAGTTCTGATGTTCTAAGTGTTGGATTCAGCAGCTAATGCCGTAGGAAACATAGACATAATTTCGTACCATTTGGCTTTTCCCTCCTATATGATTTGCAAACATTGGCGATCTTTTATCTCTGGAACACTATACCTTTTGGATCCTTTTGTTGCTTTTTGGGGGTTCTGACGTTCTAAGTGTTGGATTCAGGAACTAATTCCGTAGGAAACATATACATAATTTCGTACCATTTGGCTTTTCCCTCCCATATGATTTGCAAATATTGGCGATCTTTTATCTCTGGAACACTCTACCTTTTGGATCCTTTTGGTGCTTTTTGGGGGTTCTGACGTTCTAAGGGTTGGATTCAGCAGCTAATTCCGTAGGAAACATAGACATAATTTCGTACCATTTGGCTTTTCCCTCCCATATGATTTGCAAATATTGAATTGGCGATCTTTTATCTCTGGAACACTATACCTTTTGGATCCTTTTGGTGCTTTTTGGGGGTTCTGACGTTCTAAGTGTTGGATTCAGCAGCTAATTCCGTAGGAAACATAGACATAATTTCGTACCATTTGGCTTTTCCCTCGCGTATGATTTGCAAATATTGAATTGGCGATCTTTTATCTCTGGAACACTATACCTTTTGGATCCTTTTGGTGCTTTTTGGGGGTTCTGATGTTCTAAGTGTTGGATTCAGCAGCTAATTCCGTAGGAAACATAGACATAATTTCGTACCATTTGGCTTTTCCCTCCTATATGATTTGCAAACATTGGCGATCTTTTATCTCTGGAACACTATACCTTTTGGTGCTTTTGGGGGTTCTGACGTTCTAAGTGTTGGATTCAGCAGCTAATTCCGTAGGAAACATAGACATAATTTCGTACCATTCGGCTTTTCCCTCCCATATGATTTGCCAATCTTGGCGATCTTTTATCTCTGGAACACTCTACCTTTTGGTGCTTCTTGGGGATTTGACGTTCTAAGTGGTGGATTCAGCAGCTAATTCCGTAGGAAACATAGACATAATTTCGTACCATTTAGCTTTTCCCTCCTATATGATTTGACATTGGCGATCTTTTATCTCTGGAACACTATACCTTTTGGATCCTTTTGGTGCTTTTTGAGGGTTCTGACGTTCTAAGTGTTGGATTCAGCAGCTAATTCCGTAGGAAACATAGACATAATTTCGTACCATTTGGCTTTTCCCTCCCATATGATTTGCAAATATTGGCGATCTTTTATCTCTGGAACACTATACCTTTTGGATCCTTTTGGTGCTTTTTGGGGGTTCTGACGTTCTAAGTGTTGGATTCAGCAGCTAATTCCGTAGGAAACATAGACATAATTTCGTACCATTTGGCTTTTCCCTCCCATATGATTTGCAAATATTGGCGATCTTTTATCTCTTGAACACTATACCTTTTGGTGCTTTTTGGGGGTTCTGACGTTCTAAGTGTTGGATTCAGCAGCTAATTCCGTAGGAAACATAGACATAATTTCGTACCATTTGGCTTTTCCCTCCCATATGATTTGCAAATATTGGCGATCTTTTATCTCTGGAACACTATACCTTTTGGTGCTTTTTGGGGGTTCTGACGTTCTAAGTGTTGGATTCAGCAGCTAATTCCGTAGGAAACATAGACATAATTTCGTACCATTTGGCTTTTCCCTCCCATATGATTTGCAAATCTTGGCGATCTTTACCTCTTGAACACTATACCTTTTGGTGCTTTTTGGTGGTTCTGACGTTCTAAGTGTTGGATTCAGCAGCTAATTCCGTAGGAAACATAGACATAATTTCGTACCATTTGGCTTTTCCCTCCTATATGATTTGCAAACATTGGCGATCTTTTATCTCTGAAACACTATACCTTTTGGTGCTTTTGGGGGTTCTGACGTTCTAAGTGTTGGATTCAGCAGCTAATTCCGTAGGAAACATAGACATAATTTCGTACCATTTGGCTTTTCCCTCCCATATGATTTGCAAATATTGGCGATCTTTTATCTCTGGAACACTATACCTTTTGGTGCTTTTTGGGGGGTCTGACATTCTAAGCCGTAAGAAACATAGACATAATTTCGTACCATTTGGCTTTTCCCTCCCATATGATGTGCAAATATTGGCGATCTTTTATCTCTGGAACACTATACCTTTTGGTGCTTTTTGGGGGTTCTGACGTTCTAAGTGTTGGATTCAGCAGCTAATTCCGTAGGAAACATAGACATAATTTCGTACCATTTGGCTTTCCCTCCCATATGATTTGCAAATCTTGGCGATCTTTTATCTCTGGAACACTATACCTTTTGGATCCTTGGTTGCTTTTGGGGGGTCTGTGTTCTCTAAGTGTTGGATTCCCAGCAGCTATTCCGTAGGAAATAGACACAGTTTCGTTCCATTTGGCTTTTCCCTCCCATATGATTTGCAAATATTGGCGATCTTTTATCTCTGAAACACTATGCCTTTTGGTGCTTTTTGGGGGGTTCTGACGTTCTAAGTGTTGGATTCAGAAGCTAATTCCGTAGGAAACATAGACATAATTTCGTACCATTTGGCTTTTCCCTCCCATATGATTTTCCAATCTTGGCGGTCTTTACCTCTGGAACACTATACCTTTTGGTGCTTTTTGGTGGTTCTGACGTTCTAAGTGTTGGATTCAGCAGCTAATTCCGTAGGAAACACAGACATAATTTCGTACCATTTGGCTTTTCCCTCCTATATGATTTGCAAACATTGGCGATCTTTTATCTCTGGAACACTCTACTTTTTGGATCCTTTTGGTGCTTTTTGGGGGTTCTGTCGTTCTAAGTGTTGGATTCAGCAGCTAATTCCGTAGGAAACATAGACATAATTTCGTACCATTTGGCTTTTCCCTCCCATATGTTTTGCAAATATTGGCGTTCTTTATCTCTTGAACACTATGCATTTTGGTGCTTTTTGAGGGTTCTGACGTTCTAAGTGTTGGATTCAGCAGCTAATTCCGTAGGAAACATAGACATAATTTCGTACCATTTGGCTTTTCCCTCCCATATGATTTGCAAATATTGGTGATCTTTTATCTCTGGAACACTATTCCTTTTGGTGCTTTTTAGGGGTTCTGACGTTCTAAGTGTTGGATTCAGCAGCTAATTCCGTATAGGAAACCTAGACATAATTTCGATTCCACTT